GTATCCACACTTCCAAAATCAAAACCAAGATACAACACCCTCCCCGCCGTGGACTCGATCGTTCTCGCCCGCGTAACAAGAGTACAAAAGCGCCAAGTCGCCGTGTCCATCTTAGTCGTCCTCGACGAATCCACCGCTGCCCAAAACCCCATCTCTCCCTCTTCTTCATCAGACAACGACAACATCGCCTCCATCCTCACAACAGCCGCCAACCCAGAGAACCACAGCAACACAGACGAACTGCGCTTCCAAGCGCTCATCCGGAAAGAAGACGTGCGCGCCGTGGAGAAAGACCGGGTTGTGCTGGATGAGATGTTCCGCGTGGGCGATATTGTGCGCGGGTCCGTGATTTCACTGGGCGATCAAAGCTTTTATTATCTCACTACCGCGCGCAATGATCTCGGCGTTGTTATGGCTAGGAGCGAGAGCGGGAATATGATGTTTCCCGTTAGTTGGAAGGAGATGCGGGATCCTGTTACTGGGGTGGGGGAGCAGAGGAAGGTCGCGAGGCCTTTTTGAGGGGAGGATGATGCCGCTTTTCTCCCCGACTTATCGGTCCCCGTTCTATTATCTACCAGCAAAGAGGTATCGATGACAGTGGACCATGTCTGGAAAGGCAGCTGGGTAAGAAGGGGGATGACCATGCCCTTCACTATGGAGACAACCTTATCCATGGTTTGCCCATGACCTGGCGCGCAGAGGATTGGTCTCGGACCATCACAGAATCCCAGTCGAGCCTGAAAGGACTTTTCTCCCTTCGACAAGCACAATATCCACAGCACTCCGAGGGTGGATCTTTCATCCGGATGCGAAGATCAAGCCGCGCCCAGGGTGCAGTGGGGAAGAAGAGTATATCCCAATGACTCTAGACGTGATACCCTTAGAATCATGAATTAAATGAAAGGAAAGACTTCGGACCAATATCAATTCGGTTGCAAGTAGACTAGATCCTTCCTTCACCGGAACTGGAAAGTAAAAAGATGCATACTTTTCGAATTCATGCGCCTATACTCTAAGTAATAACCAATTCCAGATCCAATGCGTAAACACAAGAGCGCTTCTACCTATTTCTTCAACGTCTTCTGCTTCTCAGCATCAATCAACTTCCTACCCTTGACAACAAGCCCCTTCCGCTCACGCACAGCATCCATATACCTCTTCGCCACATTCTCCCGATCCGCCAACTCGCCCAGATCCTCCAGCTCCTCCTCCGTAGCAGGAACCCAGAACGGATCCTCGTCGAGAGCCTCAAAGCCCGCGAAGATGAGCTGCGGTTGCGCGGCACCGGACGTGCGTTTGCGGATTTCCTCTGCGAACCCGAATGACTCCGCTACCGGGAGGAGGGCGAGGATCGTGAAGAAGGGGGTGCCTTCTTTCATTACCTCTGACTGGATGCGGCCGCGGCGCCGCGTGATAACGCCGTAGACGCGGCCGAGGACTTCGGCTTTGGGGTTGATGATGGGTTAGTATTTATTGTCTTGCTCTGTTTGAGGGAGAGAGGACGTACTCGTTGCTTGGATCTCGCAGCTGTACATCGCCAGCATTACCCGCGGACTCCAGTCCAGGAATCCCTGGGAGATGCCCTCGCGGACCAGCTTGATCGCGTCACCTGTCAATCGGCCCTTATCCAACTCGTCGCCATTGGATTGCACGGCCAGTTCTTCCAGGAATACGGCGATGCCTTGGATCGGTTCCTGGCAAAGAGGGCCTTGTCCTGTTGCTAGCTGGAAAGCATATGCGATCTTGTCACAGAAATCCCGCACAAGCAGGGCCTGCTTGTTGTCAATGTCGCCAGCGGACTGCTTAGGGTCGTCATGCAGACTGTGAGATTAAATATTAGTGGCAGACAATGACAAAGCGAGGTCGATCAGACTTACAATTTGTCACACGTGTTCACAGCAGTTCCATCAACTAGGATATTGGGACCGACTCTGCGCGGACCAAATGCCGTAATTCTGTCGACGACATCCCGCCATAGTTCGCTATCATCCTTGACTTCATCGCGAAATACTTTGTCCAGTTCTGCCCGGAATTCTTCCAAGGAGAGGATGGTGGCTTCGCGCACTTCGCCGGTAGCATCTGCCACGGTTGTCTCGACTTGAGCACCGCTCTCTAGTCCTCCATCAGCTGGAAGCTCAGCATCAGGCTTCGCCTCTGTGGCTGTCCGTTTCTCAGACTGCAGCTTCTTGATGGTTCCCACATGCTTGGAGAGAAACTCTGTCACTGCCTCAGGCAGTGGTACCACGCGCAGCCGAACTGTCAACTGTTTCGAGGCCGAGACCTGCAGGACTCCACCGCGACCTAACTCCGGATTCTTCGGGGCAGCCATCTCGGGCGCATGGACAATTGTTTCCCGGTAGGGGACGATGGCTTCACCGGTCTGGATGTCGCAACGAGCAAACCGCTCGCGGAGATCCTTGACGCATCGCTCCAGGTGCAGCTCGCCAGCGGTTAGAATGACATGCTCACCGCTGGGAAGCACCTCGTACTGCGCGCAGGGATCGCTTTGCTCAAGAAGGCGGAGGCCGGTCACCATCTTACCTAGATCGGCCGGGTTGACTGGTTCCAAGGCCACTCGCACAATTGGTGGAGTGCCTAGAGAAACACCAGCCAGGTTGATGCTGCCTTCAAGTTGACTGCAAAGAGTACCAGTCTTGAGTACATACCCAGCAAGACCTCCTATACCAAAGACCACACCGGCGGGAACGGACTGCAGGGGCTCGAGACTTCGGCCCATGAGCAGGTAGAGATCGGTGACGGTGACCTTCTTCGGTTCGGGGCTGGCGTGAGGGTTGGCAGGCGAGAATTTTGGTGGCAGCACGTATATCGAGTCTCCTACGGAGAGCGTGCCGGAATACAGTCGTGCAAATCCAATGAGATGCTCAGGATCCTCCTTTTCTCCCACCTCTTCCGTCTCTTCCGTCTCGGTGATGAGGGATGTATTCTCGAAAGCGGATGTCAAGCGCGAGAAGTCATCCGCCTGTCCGGAACTAGTCTCTGCTTGCATCTTTGCGATTTCTTCCCGCTTGCGACGAGCAAGCTCCCTGGCTTCATCTGCGGTCATGGTGGTACCGCTCCTTTTCTTATGCGACATGAGCTCGCTCTCTGGAATAGCGACCATCTTGCTGACGTATGCTACAATCGGCTGACTTTTCTCGGTCTTGAAATTCACCATGGCTTGCTTGACATCCTCTGCCACGAACTTGGCTCCCGGGGAGCTTTCAATCATGTCAGGCAGTCGGGCTGCTTGTGCCGCTGGCGGACTCGGAAGATATTCGATGACGGACACCAAGACCGCGGTTGAGAGAGGCAGCCATGCAGAGAATAAGGTCGTCATGATGTTTCTTGGATCTCGCGAGCGCAAGATATATGGGGGGATGTTGATATTCAAGGACTTGGTGATCTTCTCCAAAAGTACCGGATCCCTGGCAAGCATTAGAGATTCCCACAATGATAAACTGCTCCAAATATCTTACCCTTTATTCTTGCCTCCACCAGTAGTCGCTTCGTATGCAGCCCAGACACTGTCTAGTACCAACTGCACGAACATGGGCTTCAGTGCCCGTCCTTTCAGGTGCTTCTGGCCCAACACGCGTTTCGTCTTGGGATCCAAGTAGTAATCTCCCCAGAGAACTTTTTCCAGGATGGTCCGCTTAATGCCTAACTTCTTTTCGTAGATGGCGGCGAATTGGCGGATAGTAAATGCCCAGCCATCCACCGCGCTGCAGAAGATGACGTTGTTCTTCTCAGGCGCAAAGTAGAGATCTTCATCGTCACGCTCTTCAAAGTCCGTCACCTCGCTAATACTCTGCGTGGACTCGTCATCCACGACTTGTTTCTTGGGCCGGTCCTTGTCCCGGGCAGAGGAGTTGACGCGATCTTCCATGCGCTGTCGCCATTGCAGATCCTCCTCCATGCGCTCACCCTGGTAGAAGCTGCCAATCACGGCATTGACCTGCTCCAGCAGTCGGCTCAGGTGCGCGTACGCCTCGCTGGGACTCATCATTAGTTCGGTTACCAGTCGGTCCATCTTGTTAATGACTAGGATCGGCTTCAGTTGCTCCACCCAGGTCTGTCGCAGCACAGTCACAGTCTGGCTGCAAACCCCCTCGACCGCGTCAACGAGCACCACAGCCCCATCACACAGCCGCGATGCGGTCGACACCTCACTGCTGAAGTCGATGTGGCCCGGCGAGTCGATCAGGTTGATCAGATACTCCTTGGGCACGGGCTGCGCGTCCGGACTCGGGCGACGCAACATGGAGAAGAACAAGGAGATAGCTGAGGATTCCATGGTGATACCACGGAGCTGCTCATCTGGGCGGGAGTCCAAGTAGCGGATCTTGCCCGCCAGCTTGGGAGAGATAATGCCATTGGTGGCGATGAGACTGTCTGTCAACGACGTCTTGCCATGATCCTAGATGTCGGTGATTAACAGGGAGATTCTCTGGGGGGAGAGCAAAAGCGCCAGACTTACGACGTGGGCCAGAATGCAGATCTAGAGCGCGGGTTAGCGGTTGGCTCGTGTGACATCATGGGATGGGATGGGAATCGCACATTTCGTATGTCCTCGGGCTTGCGTTGCAGCCGGACGAGCTCGTCGACATTAACGACAGGCATCTTGACTAGTCCGGGACCCGCGACGTTGGGTGAAAGGAGCGTGTTGAGGAAAGTCGCAACGGTCAAAAAGTGGCTCCGCAGAAAAAAAGGCGGGAGAAGTGGGATGCGCTCGATGCCTGAACTACAAGACACCGCGATTACTAGAAATGGGCTAACATGCGAAAATTCATTCCAACGAGCTCGGGCATATATTATGGATTATTGAGATTTCACTGATCGCGTTCATCGAGGCTAACATTCGACCATGACGCTTTACACCTCAGCGTGGGATGTTCTGACTCCAGATGGATCATGTTGAGTCAACTACTGATATGGCTAACTAACGACTCAAGGCCCAAAGCAGACTGACATGGCCAAGAATGGCAAACAGCTCCCCATGATCATTCCTCATCAAAGGAGAGCTTGATCTTCTTCGCCTTCTTTGGCTTGCGCGACACCGCGGCTTTGGGGTGCGTCTCTTCAGGCTCGGCCTTGTCGTCGCCCACCACCTTGGCCTGTTTCCGCTTCTTCTGTGTCCCGATCTCGGTGAGATTGCTCTGTTGTTTGGGCGCGGACTCTGCCAGGCGAGCTTCCTTGGCTTCCTTTTCACCATCTTTGGCCGAAGGATCATCGTCCGGGTTGGTCTCCTGCACCATGGCCTTGTATTCCTCCTTGGAGATCACCTCGTTGCTCTCTTCGTCCACATAGGTTGGCTCGTCATCGTCGTCGTCGTCCTTCTTTAGTCTTTGCGGGCGTTGCGCTGGCCGCTCCAGGCGACCGGTGGAATTCCCATGCTGGCCGCGCAGCTTTTGGAGGAACGCAGGCTCGTTTGCCTCTAAAAGACGAAAGTTAGCAGTGTCTCCGGGTAGTAGGGGTTAAGCGGTGTACCGTAGGCGAGTTTGGGGTTGGGCATGGTCGTAAGGCCGGACTGGAGGCTCCGTAGTGTAGGGCCTCAGGTGAAACTCATGCTGGGCAGTCGCGCTAAATTAAATCCTTCACAATTGCAAATATGCCGTCACGAAGACAAGGCAAAGAATGGCTCTAGCCGTGGGTTCAAATCGAATACAAAAGACAGAGAAAGAGAGAGAGAAAGCGAGAGAGACGAATGAGCGACTGCTTCCAGCGCTAAACCGCATCGGGCACCTCGAAAAGTCAAGGAGCGGCAGTCGCATCTCTTTCCTCCCCATCACCTTCTCCCCCATCCCACTCCCCCAATTCACCATGCTTTGTGCAAGTAAGTTGGATTACTCGTCGTGCTGCTTAGATTGATGCTCTTGATCTTTTTCTAACCCCTCGCAGTCTCCGGAGAGGCCCCTCAGGCGCCCGTCGTCTCTCCCAAGAGCGGTACGTCCTTCCAGAAGTCTCGCGTCCTCGAGTGTCCTGATCTAACACCCATATAGGTAGCGTTTTTGACAAACGTCTCATTGAGGCGTACATAGCCGAACATGGCAAAGACCCCGTGAACGGCGAGGAGCTCAGCGCCGACGAGCTGATCGAGGTCAAGTCGCAGCGTGTCGTGCGACCCCGGCCACCCACCCTCACATCCATCCCCTCGCTCCTCAGCGTATTCCAGGAAGAATGGGATGCCTTAGCACTGGAGACATATACCCTGCAGCAAAACCTGGCCCAGACCCGGCGCGAACTCAGCTCTGCACTCTACCAGCACGATGCCGCGGTGCGGGTGATTGCGCGCCTCACACAGGAAAGAGATGAGGCTCGCGACGCCCTTTCGAAGGTGTCGGTTGGTGCTGGTCGGCCTGCGGCTAGTGGCGAAGCCATGCAGGTCGACTCAGCCGGCTTGCCGCAGGCCGTGATGGAGCGGATTGAGAACACACAGGCGCAGTATGTGCAATTGATTTCTTTTGTAGTGATCTCGTGGCTAACACACTTCACAGACTCTCCAAAACTCGCCGCAAGCGCACCGTTCCCCAAGACTGGGCTACCAGCGAGGCCATCTCGGCGTACAAGCCCGTTGAAGCCTCTGAACCGCTTTACCCCGGCAGCCGGGCACTCGCCGTTAACTCTATTGGCGAATTGGCCCTCGTTGGGGGTGTTGATGGTGTGGTTGGCGTTTACTCCCTCGCTCAAAAGAGCGTGGTGCAGACATTGAAAGCAGACGGCCCGGTCACTGACGCGACATGGGCTGGCAACAAGGCTGTTGTTGGTTCATCTACTGGTTCTGTTAAGGTCTTTGAGAATGGAAAGGAAGTTGCGAGCTTTGCCTCTCACGCTGGCGAGGTGACGGCAGTTGCTCTGCATGCGACTGGGGATATTGTTGCCTCGGTTGGCGTCGACAAGAGCTACGTCCTTTACGACTTGGCCACCAACTCGGTGGTCACTCAGATTTTCACCGACACTGGTAAGTGATACCTGCCGGCTTTTTATACCATTTCGCTAACATCCTGAATAGCCCTACTATCTGTCAGCTTCCATCCAGATGGTCATCTGCTGGCTGCTGGTAGTGCGAACGGCCAAGTCAAGATCTTCGACGTCAAGACCGGCGCATCGGCTGCAGAGTATGACATGTCGGGCCCTGTGAAATGTCTCTTCTTCTCTGAGAACGGCACATTCCTGGCTGCTGTGGCTGATGGATCCACAACGGTCTCCATCTGGGATCTTCGCAGCTCCAAGGAAACCAAGGTGTTGGATACGGGCAGCCAGATCAACTCGATCTTCTGGGACTACACTGGCCAGTTCCTCCTGACGGGCGGCCCCAGTGGCCTGACTGTCCAGCAGTTCTCCAAGAAGAACAAGCAGTGGTCAGAGCCCTTGCGCAGCGCCGTGCCAGCCGTCTCGGTGGCCTGGGGAGCCAGTGCGCAGAGTATTGTGGCGTTGAATGAGGCGGGTGCAGTCACGGTGCTGGGGGCACAATGATTGATTCACAAGTTCCCCTGTAATTCTAGATCTGGTCATCTGGTGTTTCACTCGAGTCGGTTCAGTTTTAATGCAAGAAAAATAAGGAAGATTGCAATTAATGGGTGCCATAGCTGCTTTGTTTGATCGTGATATCTTCCTCTCTTCCTTTTTTCCTTCTGCTTCCCTCCGTCCATTTATTTCTCTGCCACCCTCCACCTCATTTTCTACCATGGTCTTGCTCCAATTCTCCTTCCCAACGCTACCTAGTACCTTAGATCACTTTTACTTCTTCTGTCTCACCGCCCAATCCGCCACTGGCAGAAGGTGACCGCCTCGGCAATCACTGCTCGACCATGACCGGCTCATCGACCATCGCTCTGACTTTTTGGCCTCACCAGCTTCTCCAATGTGCTGGCCCTTCCGCAACCACCTCAGCAATACTGATCCCTGATATGAACGACGACCCAGGCGTCCAGTTCATGGGCGCCAGGTCCACAAAGGTAAGCGCCAGGTTGGCCGCTCTCAAAGGCGGGGCCCAGGCTTGATGATTTGCACTCTTCCAACGAAACAAAGAACTGACGGTCAACTGGCTTATACAGCGTACTCATCAGCAAATGTCAGAGGAGTCTCTCGAGAATGGCCAGTCTTCCTCCTGGCATCACCACTTCCATCCACCTCGACCAAACTCAGCGATGGACCGATTGCCACCCCTACGATATCCTGGTGACGGATTGGACTTTCGCCGGCCAGCCCGTGCTGCCACGCCACAGGAGGAAGATGTGATTGACTTGACAAATGAGCCTGAGACCCCCCCACAACGAACACAGAATCAGTCATCGGGAACCGGGACTCCAGGCAGCTCGAGGCTGCCACGCTTTGGGCGAGACATCATGACCGACACGACCGAGGTCGTCGACTTGTTAGAGGAGGAACCAGATATCCCAGCAGATGTTCCCTCGAGCAGTCCAGAGGTGCAGTTCGTCGGAGCCGTTCGACGACCGCCGGCCCATCGATCACCACATCATCACTTCGAGAGCTATTTTCAACGAATGAGGGCAACTCGTCCTCACTCTAGGATTATCCCCCGTCCTCGCGAGCGGGCCGACACTCGAGAATTGCGAAGAGGGGCCTCTTTTGGAAACGGCTTGCCTTCATTCGCGGACTCCTTCCTCCTCGGCGATCATCCCGACAGTTTGATTTCTTTTCTCAACCTCAACTACGAGAGAGAATCCTTCCCGATGGGCCCTCCAATACGCCCGGAACCTCGATCTTCACGAAATACATACAAAGCTCCGAGTCCCCCGCCTGCTGGGTTCACACGGACACTTGCAGAGGACGATGTGGCCATCTGCCCCAACTGTTTCGACGAGTTAGGTGTTGGAGAAGGAATAAAACAGGACATCTGGATCGCCAGGCAATGCGGACATGTTAGTGTCTTCCAGTTTTCCCCTTTCTTCTATATACTGACATCCGGCAACTCAGGTATATTGTGGTGAATGCGCCGAGAACCGATCCCTCTCAAAAGCCAAAAAGTCGGCACAGAAGACCAAGCCCTTCTCCAAGTGCCAAGTGACAGGGTGCGGCAAGGCTGTCAGCCAACCGACTGCCATGATCCACATCTTCCTATAGTTTTCCTGGTGCGTTTACGGTTCACTGCGTTGCATGGAGGGTGTTGTGGGATCCGCCATCTGCATTCTCTCTCCCATTTTCTCGATACCCTATGCATGGAATTGAGGGCGTTATCTGGTTTTTTTTTCCCCTTTTTTTTTCAGCTTCTGCTTCGTTAAATAATGAATTCCATGAATGCTATGAACTACTTTCTATTGACGCTTCCAGTCTAGTAGCGACATTGTAGATTCAAGATTGTCTTTTGAAATCATGGCATGGGCCGTGTAGATTCTTGAAATCTGTCAAACAAAAGAAATACCGAGATCAAATCCGCTATGATCAATAAATAATACAGCAAGCGGCAGTGGCAGCACCCATCCACTACGTTGCGCAAAAACAGCACATAACACAAAACCCATCAGATATAAACGCCTCCGCTTCCACCAAGATCATACACCGCGCAAATCACCATGATACGGCGACCAGATACCACGCACGCTCTCGTTGAGACTGCGCACGGGCTTCGACTGCCGCCGATTCTTCTCGCCGCTGGCCTCCTTCAGCAGGATCACCTTCTTCAGGATTTCGTTGGGCTGCATGTTCCGCACACAGATCGGCTTCTCCCGGCCGTTGATATAGTGACCGCGTACGACAGGGTGCTTTTTGGGGGTCGGCGAGACCCGGAATTCGATTTGGGGGTATTGCCGTGCGAACTTGGGGAGGAGGGTTTGGACAAAGGTTCTGGGTAGCCGGCTTGTTAGAATAGGGTCGAATGGAATTAAACTGAGAGAATATTGGAGGGGAATGGTCTCACCGTAGGCCGTGGGAACTGGCGCCTTGGAGGTTGTAGTGCAGATCGAGGCGTTTGCATTGGAGGATGAAAGCGCCGGCCCCGTTCTGCGTGGCATGTCAGTACGGTGGGAGATAGAATGGGTCGGTCTGTGACATACCTGGGCAGACGTGACAGTCCTGAGCCCCTGCACGGTCATGATTGCGGTGGTCGTGGTTACTTCAGTCGGCAAGTCTGCTCCTTACCCGTTTGATTTTCCGATCGATCCACGTGACCTCGCGGCTCCAGCGGCTGGCCGCGCTAAAAACTCCCAGCTCGCGCAAGACTCCTGACCTGACGCTGTCCTGGTCACTGCCCACCCTCACTTCATCCCTCCACACAGCGCACACGGGCTAGTCCAGCATGACCGATAAGCTCCCCCCGCCACTGCTGGCTCTGTTCCAGCCACGGCCACCCCTTCGCTACATCCCTCCTACCGACCGCGCCCCAGAGGACTGCCCGAAGAGCACCATCTCCGGCGTAGCCCAGTTCCTGCCTGAAGCTAAGAAATTCGCAGAAGAGGTGCCGTATAACGCGACCGATAGCTGGGTACAACGGAAATGGAAGCAAAAAGCGGAGAGGAAGGAGCGATTGGAGAAGCAATTGACTGAAGGGGCGCAGAGCTGTACGTGTCACTCACTCGCTCACTCGCTCGCTCATCCCAATTCCTGGACTCAAGCAGGTGCTAATTGAGGAACAGATGCCCCTGATAAGGACCCGCAGGCTCGTGGGGATCCCTTCCGTACGCTGTTTGTTGCGCGGCTCAGTTACGAGGTCAAGGAGTCCGATTTGGAGCGCGAGTTTGGTCGATTTGGACCCATTGAGAGGGTACTGCCCGCTCAACTCCTTCTATAGAGACGATTTTAATTGCTAACGCTCCTTTTTTCAGATTCGCATTGTTAAGGATGAGTCTAGCAAAAAGCCTCACCGGGGATACGCGTTCGTCGTATACGAGCGTGAGAAAGATATGAAAGGTATATCATCTTGAAAAAAGAACATAACATCCCCTTGTGTTACTAACGCATAAACCCCCATTTCAGCGGCATACAAAGAAACAGATGGGATCCGAATTCGAGACCGACGAGTTCTGGTGGACGTTGAGCGCGGTCGAACCACCAAGGGCTGGAAGCCGCGTCGCTTCGGTGGTGGACTTGGCGGTCGTGGATACACCAAGGCAATGCCCGCACGGCCAATGGGGCCTGGATTCAATGCACCCTCCGGCCCAGGAGGATTCGGCGGTGGATTTCGGGGTGGCTTTGGCGGCCGGGGTTTCCGTGGAGGCTATCGGGGCGGCGACCGGTTTGGACCCCGGGGAGGAATTGGGTACCAGGGTGGAGGACGCGGTGGGTTTGGTGGACAGCCACCGCCTAATGCGCCCTCTGGTCCGGGTGGTGGACGCAGCGGTGGGTTCGGCGGTTCGTATGCCGGTGGTGGACGGTACGACCGCGGTGGTACCGGCAGCAATCGCGAGCCTGTTCGCCCGCGCGAGGGCTACTCTGACCGGGATCGCCGCGACCACGATCGGGACCGCGAGGGTGATCGTTACCGGGACCGTGATCGCATGGCAGACCGCAATGGTGGTGGGGATCGGCCCCGGGATGATCGCCCCCGGGACCGCGACAGGTACGGTGGAAGAGAGGACTATGGACGCAAGAGGTACCGTGAGGATGATGGACATGATGACCCGCGCAGCAGAAGAAGATACTAAGTCAGCGCACGCCCCTTTTCGCATGGATTTCTCTCCGGATTTCGTTTCTCTCGTCCCCAGCTTGCTGGTGGGTATCCCTGCCTCGGCCTCTTTCCTTTCGTCCCTCTCTTCGTTGCAAGGGTAAAAGGGTAAGAAAGAAGAAAAAAAGCAACGCAAAATCTCTCTTGGCCTGACGAATGCAACCCATTCTGGACTTTTCTCTTTGCTTGCTTGAGTATCCATCTATCAATTCCTCCATCCCGGCCAACATGGAGTCCCTCTGCTTGTATTCCCCGATTACTGTTCTTCCTCTGTGTTTCTTTTTTACTTTTTTGTTGGACTGCATTTTCTCTTTTGGGGTAAGTATGTACTTTAGTTGATCGCTTCCCGGACAGTGGAGAATAAATGAATGGAACAGTCCAGGTAAGACCAGGTAAGGGCCATCGCAATGACTGAACCCAAGTGCCTTGCTCGGTTAGGTATACAGGATTGAATTCTAGGTAATATGTATGACTGAATATCGGATTTTCTCTATATATTCAATTCGTATCCAATAATCATAGGCTCATCAACAGAAGAAAAGAAGACGATTGATCAAGATCGAAAATTATTCATGGAAGAAAAGCGCCGGCACCAAACTCCATAAAGATGCCCACACAAACACTTTTTTTCTCTCTCTCTCTCTTTGCATGTTCAGCACAGCATCTATGCATCAACCTCCATCCCGCCCTTTTGCTCCAGGACCTTGACCTCCCCTGTACTCCGTGTCCACTGAGCACGCAGATCAACCTTGAACTCCGACGAAACAACCCCAAACATCTTCAGCAGGGTCGTCTGCCGCGAGTCCAGCGTCTCCCCCTCCCGGCAAACCCGATACCCCTCCTCCTGCTCACCGGTCAACTCGAGCATGACCTTGCCCTTGACCAGGCGGGTGGGAACGCCCAGTTTACGCAGCGCCGGCTCAATGGTGTGGCTGATGGGCTCGTCATCTTCGGCGGGGACTTCGCCTGCGCGAGCGTACACCAGGCCATTGGGGATGGTGAAGGAGCGGGTAGCGACCGTGCCGGCGCGGGCATAGTCTAGCGGGCGGTAATTCTCGAAGAAACTGATCACGGACGCGGGCTCGCGAGAGGTGAACAGGAGACCCACGGCGCCAGATAGGTGAGGCGTCAGCAGGCGCAGGTTCTCGGCGGCCTCGTTCTCGGGCGTGGATCCCAGGGCGACGGCCATGACTTTGGTCTTGCCGAAGAAGAGACTGATGCTAATCAGTATATGGATTCACGTATATATGGAAACTGGGGACTCACCGGCTATCGGCAAACTCGGTCCGCACATCCTTCAGATAGGTGTTGCGCATGTTGTCCACGGCAAAGACAAACAGGCGGTCGTACTCCTCGACGCATTCTCGGATGTTGGCATACAGCCGGCGGGTCTGCTCCTTGTGGTCCTTCTTGGCGGTCTTGGACTCGTGGACGACACGAGCACGCTTGGAACGAGGCATGGTTGCGGATGTGGTGTGTGTTGTGAAAATGCAGTATTTAGTTGTGGCCCGAGTCAAGTGGAAAAGATTATTTTTTGTGATAACCGGGGGTGAGTTAATCCGGGCCTTATCCCGCCCCACTCGTTAGCCTCAATGGGCAATCACCTTCTCTCCTCCTGCGACTGCTGTGTATATACACTCCACCATTGGACCATGTACTGGTGAGGATGCTCGACTTCATGGACTATATCCAGCTGGCCTTTGCCGAGGCCACGCGCTGGAACCGCGACAATTCCTACTCCTCGCTCACCACCACCGCCCAGTGTCTGTCTACACAACACTTGAAACCCCCCGAACCTGCCTGGCTGACTTGAATCCCAGCAATCCTAGATTTCTCGACCCCGGAACGACTGCGCGTCCACCTGTCCTCGCTATCCACTCCGCACTTCGCAACCAGCTACACACTAGGCACCGTCGGCCTGCTCGACGGCTCCGTCTCCTATCTGTTCAGCACCGTCCCCTTCAACGACACCCCGAGCCAAAGCGCGCTGATCCCCCTGCGTAAGATCTCCCCAGGCTACCGCCAAGTGCACACGCCCGCGACGCCCGCGCATACATGGGCATGGGACTCACTCCTCAACGGCATCAATATCAAGATTCCCGGGCTGAAGGACGGCTCGCGCTCGGCAACCGGCAAAGAGCCCGAGCACAGTGCAGTAGACAACGATGGCCTAGAGCGAAAAGCGACGCTGCTCCATGCCTCACTCCAGCTCCCGCCGCCAACAACTCTCAATGCCCTCTTCCTGCGCCGCATTTCTCCCACCATGCAGCTCTCCCTGGCCGTCTGTTCCACCCAGGGTCCGCCGCTGTCCAATTCCGCGCCGCAGGCCTCAATGCTGGCGCAGCTCTCGCATGACGCGGGAAAATATAGCAACGAATACCTCTTCAGCACGGATAATGCTCTATTCGGCTGGCGCGGGCTGTGGAATTTCGGCCCTGACCCGCGTCTGGCGCGTCCCGACGCTCCGCCTCAATTGGCACTTCTGTCTGCTGGCGCTGAGGCATACTACTCCCCTATATCGTCGTTGGTCGGCATGTCAACTGGCCTAAGATTCACCACGTTACCACCAGCAACCGAGGTCCCGTCTGCTTCCTCTTCGTCTTCCTCTTCTACGCCTCCGGCGCCCATTTCCACCTTCCCTTATACATTAACCTTAACACTCACCCCGATAACGGGCTCCCTATCCACAACATACTCTCTCCGCGCCTCGCCCAATATCTCCTTCAGCTCCCGCTTCGGATTCAACGTCTACAGCTGGGAAAGCGAGATGGTCGCGGGCTGCGAGCTCTGGCGGCGGAAAGCCAAATCGGCAGCCAAGGAATCAGATGACGGCCTCGAGTGGGCGCGTCGTAAGATGCGTATGCATGATTTCTCGGCGTCCCTTCCGGGCTCTTCAGTCCTGGCTGATCCGGCTCAGCCTGCGTCCCCCGTTAAGCCCGAGACTGAGACTGAGGCGGAGTCTGAGGCCAGTGACTCGGTTGTCAAAATCCGGATCGACCAGTCTTGGAACGTGCGCATCCTCTGGGAAGGCCGTGTCAAGGAACTGCTTGTGAGCGCAGGCGTCGGGCTGGGCCCGGGTTCGTTCTCGATGTCTCCCTCCGCTGCATCTGGGGCTGGATCTAGCCAGAGTGGAGGCGGCGCGCCGGGCTCGTCGTATTGGCGTGGAGTCGGGGTGTCGGTACTGTATTCGTCGTGAGATACTCTTTTGTTCTACGAGCGAAGGACCTTGGTATTCATCGCAAAGCCTATCGCAGAGGACGCATGTTTAATATAATTCCACCATTGTACATAGTTAGATTTCATGACAACATAATTGACATGGGAAACTTTTCTTCAATTTCTACTGGTTCCGACATTAGGAGCCAATCCCCCCAGTCTAATCCAGCGAACTAAACAATTAGATACGGGCGTTGATGATGTCGACGACTGGTTACCAAAGTTAGCATCCGGACCGTTCTTGGGTTCCGAGTTCTACTCACAGGCAGGCTTCAAGCTGGCACCGCCAACAAGGAAACCGTCGACATCGGGCTGCTTGGCCAGCTCGCGGCAGTTCTTCTCGCTGACGGAGCCGCCGTAGATGACGCGGACGCTGTCGGCCGCCTGGGCGGAGATGGCATCACCGAGCCACTTGCGGATAGCGGCGTGGACCTCCTGGGCCTGCTCGGTGGTGGCGACCTTGCCGGTGCCAATGGCCCTGCATGGCGTTAGTGTGTATTCACAGACCAATAAACCAGTGTATCTGCGTAGATATATCAAAGGCAAGACCTAGGTACTTACCAGACAGGCTCGTAGGCAATGACAACCTTGGCCCACTGCTCCTTGCTCAGCTCCTTCGCGGCGGCATTGAGCTGCCGGGTAACGACTTCGATAGTCTTGTTGGCCTCGCGCTCCTATCGACAATAACACCGGGTGTGAGCGGAATGTTGCAGAATGGGTCAAACAATACCCGATGGTGGTCCCGGTAAACCGACCCACCCCGGCCACGAAAACGAGAAGGAACCGGACTCGGAATGACGTACCTCCAGGGTCTCCCCGATGCAGAAGATGACCGAGAGACCGCCCTCAATGGCAGCCTTGACCTTGCGGGCGATGAACTAGAAGCAAACAGAAAGAATTAGTGAGCTGTAATGTGTAGCCAATGAGTACGGGATGTGATGTGATTTACCTCGTCCGTCTCCTTCAGGATCACTCTCCGCTCGCTGTGGCCGATGACAACCCAGTCGATCTTGGTATCGCGAAGCTGCTCGACGCTGATCTCACCGGTGAAAGCACCGTTGGGCTTGTCGTAGACGTTCTGGGCAGCGACGCCGATCTTGGGGTCGGCCAGGCTGCGCGTCAGAGTGAGGTACAGCGCGGGAGGCGAGATGACGACCTCGGTAGAGGAGTCGAGCTGCGCGGCATTGAGGTTCTTCACGATGGAGGTGATGCTGTCCGCAACACCGTTCCTGTACAAGGTTAAGCAATTCGTTAGAACAAAGTCATGACGGCGGGGATAGATTGAGACCGCGGGGTAATGAGACTCGAGGACAGCCGTACATCTTGAAGTTACCTCCGACGAAGAATTGGCGAGGCATTTTGGGTGGTAATTGAGTGTATGGAAGGGAGGAAGGAGATATGAAACAAGTTGGGAGAATTGAAGGTCAGTGAAGAAAGTAAAGTGTCGAGAGGAAAGAAATTCGGCGATGGAGGGGCACGGTCGATCTTGTCGCCTGCGGATTCAGGCAGAATGTTCTCTATGACATAACCGGGTGCCTATGGTTAGTTGGGAGTACCCAGGGAATTCGCTGCTAGTCATTTGGACCCACTCCACTATACTCTTCCTTATGCCTAGACATGGCCTGCGGTTTCGCCGTAAGAGATGAGATATGGAACTATATAAATGAGCTACTGCTACTAATGACCGAGTCTGAAAAGAAACATTAATGAATCACTCGGCAGACTCATTATTGTTTGCGCGCCGGCAGGGACAGTTGCACACCACCGGGGCCTCCCGAAAGGACTTGCGATGCTCCAACTCCCGCGACTCATCAATTGTCTTCTGGATCATTCTGGCCTGGAAATCCACAAACTTCTCCCAGCTCTCAATTCGAGCCTCCCGGTGGTCTAGCATCCGGCTGCGCACGTCATTCTCAACTCCTCGTGCCAACCGGATCCGCTTTTCACGATATGGGTTATCCTCTCGTTCGACTCGTCGGAGAGGACTTACTCTCTTGGCAGAAGCCATGTCTACTCGGCTGCGTGGAGGGTGGTTCTTGTCGTGACTTGTTTCCCGGCCCCGGTGCTTTGCCAGCCTGCGGTACAAAGGACCATACCCCGATTCGCACCGGTTGGGGCTGCACGACCTCTGTCGGTTGTAAACGTCGTCCCGTCGGGGCTCTGGGCGCTCCCCATCCCATGTTTCTGAATCTTCTGTCGCAGAACTATCTCCCGCCCGATCAAAGAACACGGACTCGTCGTCTTCGTCACTGCTAGACACAGATGACCCGGTCGACACTGCTTGAACTATGTGATCCGCGCCTCTCAGTGATGTATGTCCTGAGCCTGTGTGAACAACTAACTCTAAACCAGAGATACTATAGTGCTCACCATGCTCCTTTGCGGAATGATGAGGTCCAGGTTTATCGTTGCCATGCAAAGTCCTTGTACCAGGGTCTTGCTCAAGATCCAGTTGTGTAAAAGGTGCGGTGACCTGTGTTGGTCGAGGCTGCGGTCCTTGCACCACATCGCCTTTTCCTGTACTTGTGTAGGGGTCCAAAGGTGCAGCGAGGTCCACCAAATCCCCCATGGCGGTCCTCGGGTACGACTGGGTCCTTGCAGGTCTCTTCATGAGAATAATGTCCATGGACACAGTTTCGTAGTCGCTGCTCCGGGTAGCATTGCGAGCCTTTGAGGGTCTACTGCGCTCTTTGGCATAGACGCAGCTCCATTCGACCTGTGGATCGCATTTTCTTTTCTCAGAGATCAGCTGATTCACATGGGCTCGCCTGAGACTGGACAGATTCTGGTACTGTTGTGCGGCAGAGACCTTATTCGCGCCTTTCTGGACTATTTTGAAGAGCTCCCTTTGGCTGAGGTGCATTTCGGTTCGCTCCACTAGGCTCCAGGATGTCTTCTGTCCGGGGGCGGGATCGGCCTTGAACAGAGTGTATCCTTCGTAGTGAGAGAGGAGGGGGGTCGGCTCGGGGGGCACGGTCTCACTGCGACTCAGGCTGGTTGCTGTTGGGGTTCTCTCCTGGGTGGGGAGCTGAATGTTCCCGCCTGAATTATTATTCTCAAGCTGTCCTGGGACACTGGAGGCATTGTGTTGAGGAAATACACTTTCGTCAGGTGCTGTAGAGGAAGCTTCGTTGAAAGTCAAGGCAGTCATGGTGGTGAGAGTGGTAAGAGGCAATGCGTGATCTCAGGTGTGCAAGGTATCAGATGTTACAGATTGGATGAATCAAAGATTCAAAATAAAAAAAGTTAAGGAAAGACATCTCGAGCAAGGGGCAACACAAAAACGTCTGCACTGCAGTGCTCCTCTTATAGATCGAGGGGATTGTGGGACACCCCGTCACCCAGGTAAATAACGGGGGCCATAGCAAATTCCAAAGCCTCTGAGCAAATAATTAGAAATTAAAAATATATATATAGCTAGACATGTATATACGTACAACCTCGTATCTATCACATGGTTGACGCAGTGCCTACCAGTGCCCCACATGTCGCCCGGGTGTTGAGGCTCCCACGGAGCCTCATGAACCAGAAATTTCCATTCAGCTAACCCCAGTCTCTAATTGGTTCATCATATGGTTGGATCACGAGGATTCTGATCCTTGTCCATCAGCTGCGAAAGCTGCAGGTTCCCCGGGGTTCGCCTTTAAAAATGACATCGAGCGTCAATTAGGGCTAGCCTGAAACCAAGGTGACAAGGGCCCTTCCTTTTATCCTGTTTGGGCCAGAGACAATCTACAAAGAGCAGGGGAAAAGTGCCGAAATGACAAGTTGTCGCAAGAGACAAAGAACGCTTGCAAGGACAAGAGAATGTTTTTATCGGGCTTGACGCACTCTCTGTCAAACCGCGTCTGGTTCTGCGTCGAGATCAAAGAACATGTCTCGCGCCATCCGCCATCAAGTCGACAGCCCTCGGGCATAAAGAGCCCATGATGTTCCTACTCAGAGAGTACCAAACTCGTCATCATCGTCCGCCATGAACTCTCTCAGGGTACCTGGCGGGATCCCCGAAGTTTGGGAACGCACTTTCGCTTTCTGCGCCCCCCAGCTGGTGGACCCGAACAGCGACTTGTCGAGACAGTACCCTGATCTCCATCAAAAATTCAGCACTCGCATGGCCGATGCTCTGGCTGCGAGAAACAATGAGCCAATCTCGAAGTGTGGACACCTTCACCCGCAAACCCACACCCGATTCGACTCTCGAGAGGCCCAAGAGACGTCCAGACTGAGTGTACGGGAGATATACAACAGGGAAGACGACATGGATTTCCGGCGCTATAAAATCTGTTCAGACCTCAGGGAAAGAGCGCAGATCTACGGCTTCATCGGCGCCGGAAGTAAGTCCCCTCTACCCTTCTCTTTTGTCCAAGTCAAGTTGCTAACTACCCTTTCCAGCATTTGCCACCGTATTCCTCGCCCGCGAGATGCATTCCAACAAGAAAATACCTGAAGAGCAGCTCCGCCACTACGCTCTCAAGGTGGAAAGGGCCAGCACCATTCTCCAGGCGGGGGAGTCTGACTTGCACGAGTGCCCATTTTCCCTGCTGCGAGAAGGCGGCGCTGACCGGTACATTCCGTCCGAGGCTCTGATTCTGCTGTTATTGACCGGCTGTGACAGATTCCCGATGCTTGACTCTGTCTACCTTGACGGCTGCTACCAGACGATCGTCATGTCCCCCTGCGTGGACTATTCGCCGGACCGGAAGCCTTTGAAAAGCAACACGTACAACCGGTGCTTTCCAGGCTTCACAGGTAGGTTCTTGATCACTCAGGAAAAGGAGCCCCTTCTCAACGAAATGCAGGCTTGCAAAGTCGCTTGCCAGCTGCTGGAGGCCATCGCCTACATGGCGGATATGAACCTGTACCATGGCGACATCTCGATCAACAACTACGTCGTGGATCAAAACCTGAATGTAAGCCCCCCGTCCTTTCTGTGAGGATCTCGCAAATGCTAACTGCTTACAGGTCCAACTCATCGATTTCGGGATCGTCGACTTTGGGCTCGAGCACAAAGACTTCCAGCGTAGGTCCTTTCACTTCATGGCTTGCCATGAGTATCAGATGAGACCCGAGCTGGCTGAAGAGCTGACCTTAGGCAGTTACCAGTACGATCTGCACTACCTTTCGGAGTTCAATGTTCGTCTTCGTCACGACATCCGCAACGTATGCCTCTGGAAGTTTGCTGTGTCTGTTTTTGGCATTCTACACGGGTACTGGCCTTGGGACTTAACTCCGGAGCAAGGTGACCTGCACCTGCTGAATTACAACGGTGGTTCCAACCCCGGAGTGGATGCCCGACGAGCCAGAATGATGACCGAGCCCGTGGAAGTCGCCGATCACTTGTCCGGTGAGTGCAAGGAGGTCCTGCAGCTCATGCTCAGCAGGAAGCCTGAGGACCGTCCTGGGATCAAGAGGCTTTTGCGCCAGCCTTGGTTTGAAATGTGGAAATCCGTGGACGGTCCGCTCACGAGGCCTTATTCCGAGGAGTTCGCGCGTTCCTTTACCATTGCGGCCTGAGCTGTGTCTGGCTTGTTAGCCTGTAATCTCTCATACATAGACCGTTGTTTCCAGTTCCTATCTTGTTGCCTGTTTCCTGTTTCCTATTGGTCTGTGCCTGTACCAGATATATAGACTGTCTTTCTTGTTTCCCATCCTGTTGCTTACTCTGCTGCCTGTTTGTTTGTGGTGTACGTCTACCTAAATTGCCAGATTGATAGACAAGCTTTGATTTTAAAAACTGAGGAAAACATATATTGATATTGTAGGCGACAGTAGAAAGCGATGAACTGCCTCACGCTAAAATCGTAAATTGAATATTGGAATCAGAAACGGCGCCACGCCAATCCACGATGGAATAACCGCCTAGCGGGAACGCTCATCGTCTAAGACCATCAAACCTGGCCTGGAGGTCGTCATCATCAGTGGCAGGACCTCCACCGCCGCCGACTGCCTGCGCAACAGGAGTCCGTTCTTTGGTTGCCGTTTGTATGTCGGTAGGTGTTTCACCCAGCTATTGTCCGTCAGTACACACAAAAGCCACGCCCAAGGGGAATGAGAGAGACATACCTGGCCGCCGAGCTCGACGCCAAGCGAGTCCAGCACCTCCCGCATGACATCTTCTCCTTCCTCCTCCTCGCCCTCCATCCCCGTCGCCTCGTCGATTGCGTCGTCCATCATCTCTTGCCGTTCGTCCATGACCTCGTTCTCGCGCTCAAACTCCATCGCGATCCGCTGCAGTGCAGGGAGATTCATCTGTCGGTTCATACTGCCCAGGAGGTGCGTTGCGCCCTTCATGGATTGCATCATCTGTTCATTACTCCGCACAGTCTGTAGACAGACATCGGTCAGCGTAACTGGTCAACCCGACACTGAAAAAAAGGAAAATCGTACCTGGATCCGGAGAGAAATAGCCTGTAGTTGTGTGCGCATCTGGTAGAATTTCTGGATATATCTATAGCATCAAAAAGTCAGTCCGGTTCGTCCCCCACAAGGGAATCTCCAACACCGCGCGCACCTTCGTGTCCGCACGAGGTCCTTCGCCTGGATCTTGCAAGCTTCCATCTGGCCATTCTTGGCACTCTTCTTAATATCCTGCACCAATTTCTTCTCCTGGTTCTCCAGCTTCGTCCGTTCGCGGTCCAGTTCGCGCTGCGTTCTGTCTAGGGCACGCTGATGTTTGCGCAGACGCTCCGCGGGCGTCATGCGCTTTCCGAACGCCCATTCGATGACCTGGAGAGTGGATCATGTTAGAGATATCTCCTCATTCGCCAGGGGCCACTCACATTCATGGTCGGACTGAAGTAAACAGCGTCAAGTTGGAAAAGCGCAGTGACATCAGGCAGATAAGCGGGCCTGTAAGAATGCGCGTAATGGTATTGTCCAGTCACATGAGCGCTAAGCCCCTTTGGGTTTAATAACTAACGGGCGAATCCATGGAATTCCACCGGCAGCAACACAGACTCTCTTCTTCTCTCTCCATGTCAACCTCTCGCCCTCCCTGCATCGTCGTCTCGCCATGAGTCAGGAGTACTATCCCGCTGAGGGCTCCTCGTCGGGCGCCGGCTCGTCCAGGTTCCCTGGTGACGAAGAGCTGCCTGAGAGGACGCCGTTCTACCCCCGGCCCCCGCCGACTTACATGACCGTTGGCAACGGATCGACGTCACAGAGCGCTACGGCCCTCATGACATCTCTGAACCAGGATTCAGGATACGGAGGCAGTATCGGCAGTACTGCCGATGCGATGGATGGCGATGGTGAGGACTGGCGTGCGGGCCTGCTGGAGGATCGCCCGACGCCAGCGCACACACCGACGCGTCCCGGAGAATGGAATCCAGCTTGTGAGTGATGAGACGCGAGCATGGTGGATGGAGCTGACCTTGGGTTTTCCGTACAGCCGAGCATGAGAGACAAGTTGTCGCGAGCCACGTTCATCAGCTTCTTTAGTATGTTCCAACACGTGCTCTCCGCATCCCAACGAAGGCTTACCCTATTCTGCAGCAACTCAAATCGGACGAAGCTTGCTCGCGCAATCACCCGAACGATCGAGACGCTGGATGGGCTTCGTGACATGAACGCCCAATGGCCCGCCCACTATCCTGCCGTCCAGAACACTCCTCCTTCCCCCTCCGAACGCCCGCCGTTCCATGAAAGCCACTCGTACATGGGTGACAGTGGGAGCCGACCCACCACCCCCGAACGCCCGGGAACGCTGAAGCGCGCTGCAACCACAACGGGAGGCGATGACTTGGGAGAATCAAGCGCCGCCCCTGAACGCCGCACGCCTGCCGAACCGCGATTGATGACGCCGCAGATCGCCCAGGAATTCTCAATTTTGAAACTGGATTTGAAGTTGGGGGCGCTGTCTCAGGCAGAGCTGGTCCACTCGCTCGAGAAGGCCTCTGTTGCCTCGTTGTTGGATGGAAAGATCTGCCAGAGCATGAGACACCTGCACTTACTCCGAGCCCGTATCGAGGACACATCAAGCAAAGTTTTGATTACGGGGGATCTCAATGCGGGCAAGTCGACCTTCTGCAACGCTCTCCTGCGTCGAAAGGTGTTACCGGAAGATCAACAGCCTTGTACCAGCATCTTCTGTGAGGTGCTTGATGCTCGAGAGAACGCTGGAGTTGAGGAGGTGCATGCTGTGCACAAGGATGCGAAATACGACCGCAACAACGAACAGACTTATGATGTCTATGCGCTGAACGAACTCGAGAACATCGTGGTGGACAACTCCAAATACATGCAATGCAAGGTCTACGTCAAGGATGTGCGGTCCATCGACGAGTCCCTCCTCAACAACGGCGTGGTTGACATCGCCTTGATTGACGCGCCTGGTTTGAACTCAGACTCCTTGAAGACGACAGCTGTCTTTGCTCGGCAAGAGGAAATTGACGTGGTGGTCTTTGTGGTTTCTGCCGCAAACCACTTTACGCTGTCGGCAAAGGAGTTCATCCTGAACGCCGCTCATGAGAAAGCCTACATGTTCATGGTGGTGAATGGATTTGATCAAATTCGGGACCAGCAACGGTGTGAGCGCATGATTCTGGATCAGATTCAAAAGCTCAGTCCTCGCACGCACAAGGAGGCCGCGGAGCTGGTCCATTTTGTTTCGAGCAACGCCATTCCTGTTGCGCCCCCTATTGCGGTCTCAGGATCCGGTTCTGGTGGTAGTGGCGGCGGTGGAGGTGACGGTGACCCTCACGACGATGATGATTCCCACGATGACAAAATCGACCCCAGCAAGGATAAAGGAAAGGGCAAAGAGAAGGAGAAAATCCAGGACTTTGAGAACCTCGAGGGAGCCCTGCGCCGCTTTGTTCTCGAAAAGCGGTCCCGTTCCAAGCTTGCGCCTGCCAGGACTTACCTGCTCAACCTCCTCGCCGACCTGAACTCGCTTGCCACAGTGAACCAGGCAGTTGCAGAGTCGGAGCTCAAGCGAGTGACAGATGAGCTGGTCGAGATCGAGCCGGCATTCGAGAATGGCAAGAAGAAGAAGAACGAGGTGGCGGAGGGTGTCAATAAGGCCATCGACGACTCTTGTGAGGATGTGTACAACCATACGCGCTCTACTTTGACAAACACGATCGCACGGGTGTCAGAAGCAGACCTTGGTGTCGAGTATCCCGGTCTTTTTTCGGCATTCCAGTATGCAGAGGACTTGAAGCTGGCAATGCTGAACCAGATATCCTCGGCAGTCTCGGGTTGCGAGGATTATGCCCGCGAGAAGACGACCCAGGGCGTAGGATTCATTCAAAACATCGGTCTCTTGCATGTTGGCGAGGATCGGTTCTCTGCTCTCAACTTCCGTGCGGACCTAATGTTCCGCCGTGGTCGTCGCCACACACTTGCCCGCCAGGTGTACACGGAAGTGGAGCTCTGGGACTTCTTCGACATTGCCAGCCTCTGGGAACGCCAGGAGAAGATGGCAGGCACAGGCGTGGCCATGACTGCGGTCACTGTTCTCGGTGGCAGGGCGTTTGGTGGTTTCGGCTGGGTGGATAGCGCTTTCAATGCCGCCAAGTTCCTGGGCACCAACAACATGCGCCGGCTCTTCCTCCCTAGCATCATCGTCGCAGCCCTCCTGACTACCGCTTACGTTGTCTCTTCCATCCCGACTACTCTCCCTCCTCGGCTGTCGCGGAAGATCGCCGCCAAACTTGCCGACATGGATTATGTGCATTCCAACGCCAACAGGATCTCGTCCGAAGTCCGCCGCATCCTCCGCATGCCGGCCGGAAACCTGCAGACGAACATGGCTCAGGAGATTGAAGACCTCGGACGCCGCAAGCAGGAAGTCACGAAGATCCAGCAGGAGAGCACCGTCGCCGCCAAGTACTTCTCCAACTTGCTCCGTGAGAGCAGCCAGACTCGCCAGTCTGTGGATGATCTCGATCTCGACGCCCCACTGCCTGGTGGAATGGCTGCCACCCTTGGCTAAGTTGCCGCTGCTCTTGTACTATTTCCCTGCGATTCCTCTCTGTGGATCAGCAATTTTTTGCGCCTTTCCTACACTTTCCTTGCTGTCTCCCCGGATGACGGGAACCCTAGCGAGAGGTTTCTTTCTTCAGTGGGAGAACTTGGCAGACTTTGTCTCTCCTCTCGCCAGGTATCCTGTTGCTTGTACAAATTCCCCCCTCTCTATTCCTTTTTAGCCCCTCGATATCCCCATCCTGTCTTCGGTGTTCTTCTAGAATGGTGCCTTTGTCAAATCTCCTCCAAAAGACACCGGCTTTCTTTTTTCTTGTTCTTCATGGCGTGTATTGGCGTGCATCGGAACCCACCCACAGTTTCCACCTAAGATTCCCACCTAAATATGAATGCAATTGTTCTCTTCATCTACAATCTCTAGATCCGAAGCTTGGACTCTCTTACACTCTTGACATCTAGGACAAAGCCATAAATTGGTTAAAGAGACGCCATTCGCAATGCACACATGCCCATGCATCCATGCCTCCAAGAGAAAATAATACAGGAAAGATGCGATCAAAAACGCGGCCAAGTGTAGAGAAGAGAGCGCCGCTAGAACAACCCATCCTCATCATCAGCCTTTGCAGCCGTCTTCCTCGTCCTCCGTTTAGAACCCCACCCGATATCCTCCAATTCCCTAACCTGACCAACCAACACACCGGGATCAGGAGCAGCCGCCGCACCATTCTTCTTCCCGGGCAACTTGCCCGCTCGACTGAGAAACTCAGCCCGCATGGCCGCAGCATCCGGATCCTCATAGTCCAGCTGCGTCATGGGCGGAGGCTCGTGGTTCTCTTCGTCTTCGGCCTCGAGGTGTGAGGGGAACTGGTCGGCCAGGAAAGTCTCCAGTTTCCCGCCGCTGAACATCGATGAGAGGCTCTGCTCATTCGCGCGGCTGTTTGTGCGCGACATGGAGTTGTCGCGCGTGGGATTGCTTTCTAGGGCGCTGCCCACGCCGTCATCATTTAGGGTGTCGATTGAGCTCGCGCGGGAGACTGGTCGGCCTCCTGCGCCTCCGGGCGCTTCGAGTACTCGGGTTGAGGAGTGGGATGGGGCGCGGCCGAGAAGGGGTTTGCGCTTTCGCCGTGGGGGATAGCTGCCATCTTCGTTGGTTTCGCTGGCGGTGGTCTCGGTTTGAGCGCGAGATTTAGCGGCTCGTGCTTGTTGGAGGAGTCCACTCATCGCGATGTCGAGGGCGGAGGGTGCAGCGGCAGATGCTGCCTGGTCGGACTCGGACGGCTTGGTAGCGGTGTCATCTTTGCTGGGGGCATTACCAGGCGAAGGAGAGCGAGATGCCGGGACAGATGGCTTGGGTGGGTTGTCGGGCTTGGGTTGATCCTCCCTTGAGAACCCGTCACCCAGATTCGTGTCGCGTTTTCTTGATGCCACGCGCTTGTCAGCTCTCCCCTTCTGTGCAGAATCTGAGCTGGAATTGGACGCCCTTTCTGCTTGAGCATTGACCTTCTGTTGCTGTTTTTGGTCCACATTGACAGAGTTTGGCTTGGAGTGTGGCTTCTCCGCTCCGCTACCACTCCGGGATAATGGGCGCCGAACAATATATGGTTCAAAGGGTTTCTTCTGGCCTATTTGGATGGATATCCAAAGCCAGTCTGCAGATACTGCAGGTACTCCCCATTCGCTAGTGTGCCGTAGCTTCTCGTGGCTTGCTGACTGGGGGTCATTGCATATGAGAACAGATGCTTTTGGCGTCAAGAATTCATCGTACGAGGCGCCCATCAGATCAACCAGTTTGGATAAGTGTAGAAGATCGATGCGAGCAAACCCGGTGGAGCATATCCGCATTCCCGAGAAACCTACTGCCGTTAGATCCAAGTCACTCATATCGTATAACGGAAGGGGAAGTCACCTGGTATGGGGAATTTGGGAAACGGAGTGCTTGCCACATGTGATTCTGGAGGGACCAGCGTTCTTGCATCAAGACACCTTTCCAGCCACATATCTGTTACGATCTCGCACTCGAATGCCATGTCATCGGTTGAGGGTATCTCGGATCTGGGGGTCTTGTAAGGAACCATGATGTATAGCCCTCGACCTGTTTTCGGAATTGTAGGACGAGAGAACTCGCTGAGTGAATCTACCAGCTGAGCGCCGTTGAATTGAAGATGATGGCGCAAGACACCCGTCTAGGAAGGTTAGCTGCAGCTGTCGGAATGAGGTTCTGGTCACAAACCTGCTTGGAAGAGAAGCCGCTGATTAAGAAATATGAACCTTGTAGAAATCCCTCGGCGCTGGTTGCAGTTTTGGTTTCGGGTGGTAGTTGAGGAGCCTCTATGGCTCCGGAGAATGCAGACTCGCTAGCAAATGATGTTGCTGCTTGGATAACAGGTACAGATCGAGAGCTTGTTGGGTCACGTCCTTGTTGTTGACCATTTTGGACTCCTTTTGCCTGGTGGGTTGCAAAGCCAGTGCCAACAATATCACCCCAGATACCTTCATTTTGACCGACCAATTTCGTACTTGCTGTACGGCGTAGCTTTCGAGGTCGAGGATTGGATGAAAGTTCCACGGTAGCAGTTCTCTCACCCCCAGATTGTCCTTTGGCTACCACTAAGGGTCGTTCCCATGCACCCGCGCCCTGCTTCTCTAGCGGTACCATTGGATGATAGGGATTCGCGTCAAGGATCATGCCGCGCTCGAGACAGTCGGTGAACCACTTCAACGTCACTACCGTGACATTCCATTGCGTCGCGTACTTGTATTTCTCGCCCTCTCCGTTGCGTGCAACGAGATGCGTGACGCTCTTGGTCAAATCCGTCCTGAATTCCGCGCCGTTCTCGATGGCCGTCTGCTCCATGTATTTCCTGAACCCCTCTGCAATGCATCTGTCAGCCACGCCGTATCAAGGTCCGTGATCATGTACCAACTCACTGTCCTCAAATCCAGTTATGCAAATAGTGAGACCGCCAAACACGGGGTATTTGTGCTGCTCCTGTAGGGCCCGAATGTCCGTGTCCTCGCCCTGCATCCACGGCTGCCGAACTGCTTCGATCCATTCCGGCTTCACCACGGCCACGTCGTTTCGATGACGCGCAACATACTTGTACTTTTCCGTGTCCGGGTCGCCGACCAACAAGTGGGTAACGTGCGGAGTCAGGTGGGATGAGTGCGTCGCGCCCATTTGACTTGCGATGTTGACAATCGCGTCCTGCAGGATGGGAAATGCGCATCAGCAGATGTCTTAAGCCTCTGGGATGTCAATTGGAATCACTACTCTTTGCTCGACTGGGATTGACGTGCAGCACAGGACCACCCCCGCAAGCGGGCGCTCCTTGTCTATACCGGCCCGTTAGCAATTTAACCCCGATTCCCCAGAAGACCTGGACGTTGACTCACCTGAAACAGCCATCCCGGCCATGCTTCATGGTCGACAGAGCCAAGAACTGCTGTCGGAGAGCACGCTGGGCGAGTTGGACTGCGAGCTGGTGGTTGTTCCCGGTTGTTCCATCCCGCGCGTCCCAAAGAGTCGCGCGGTCACGTGGTTGGTGCCCTTGAGGCCAACCATGGCCGAAGAACGATAGGATAGATATACAAGTCGGTGATTTATTGGAATAATGAGCAATTTCTCACATGAGGAAACATTATTTATGATCCCTGTTTTCATGATGTGGTACACCTTGCCGGCCAATATATATTGTTGCAGTGATGATGCTCGAGTTATACTTCTCCCAACTGTTGATTGCCATTCTGATTTATTTACACTTAATAATCAACACCTTGCCATTTCGTGTCATGAAATGGACACCACTCTCTTCATCAATGAAAACCAAAATAAAAATAGACCCTCCCATACTTACCAGTCCAACTCTCTTTCGTCGGCCACCGTACTTATCTGTCACGTGCGATAGTCGCGTCTCCCCCCACGCGCGTTGGGCCAGGCTCATCTATCCCTCTGCATCACGCCCAACTTGTTTCGCGTCTCTGTTTGTGTCTGTCCTTTTTTTATATGCATGTTGCGCGCTCTAGACTGCGGGACATAAAACCAATTCGAATTGTCTCGAATTGCTCGAAAACCCCGTCAGGCACCTTCGTGTGTTTCACATCCCGAGGTGTCGCCGTCGCCGAGGAGCCCACGATGTTTAAAAAGGCAGTGAAAGATCATCCGGGAGCGTCTTCCAAGCCTCTCCAGTCGAACTTGCTACGGGCAAACACAGTCGTCCCTTCCAAGTCCCCAATGCAGTCGGCCGGTGTCAAGCGAAAAATCGAGATGACGATGGGCGGGGAATCCGCGCTGGGCTCTCTCCACAGCGCAGTCTATTTCGACGAAAATGACTTCGACGATGACCTCGATCTCGACGTTGATGAACCCCAGCCACTCATCACGTCAAGTGCAGTCGCATCGAACCTCCCGGAGCCGGATCCCGTCGCTTATCCCGCCCTCGACAGTATTTCCTCGAAAGTCCCGAAGACAGAGCGCACGAAACGGACTACTAGCGACAAGCAAGCATTGGATGTTAAATATCCGGACTTGCCTTCTTCCCATGAGGGGGCTGCGCCGTCGAGTAGCATACAAATCCCATGGTCATCCTCACCCCCTTCTCACCTCCAGCCGCCTCCTAAACCTCGCACGCTGCCATGGCTGAAGGAAGTACAGGAAGAGCCACACCAAGCAAACTCGGGCAAAAAGATGAACCTGGTGACTCCGAAACGTTCGAAGCCTACCGATTTCTGGAACAAGTCCGCGAGCGCCATCAAGGAAGAGCAAAAGGAATTGCGACGGGAGTCCAAGAAGGTACAAAAGCCCAGTGGAAAGCCCAAAGCGGAAGGCCCTTCCAAGATAGCCACTGTCTTCCTCAGCGATGAACAGCGGGCTGTTCGCGAGGCCGTTGTCGAGGGTGGGAAGAGTATCTTCTTTACAGGTTCGGCAGGAACCGGAAAGTCGGTCTTGATGAGGGAAATCATACAAAAGCTGCGCGTCAAGTACAAGAGAGAGCCCGATCGTGTGGCCGTGACAGCCTCAACAGGCCTCGCAGCCTGTAACATCGAGGGCGTTACCCTTCACAGCTTTGCTGGGATTGGGCTGGGCAAAGAGGCTGTGCCTGAACTGGTTAAAAAAGTCAGTTCACCCAAATGGCCTGGAAATGCATCGATACTGACTACCCACAGATTAAAAGGAACCAGAAAGCACGGAATCGTTGGTTACGCACCAAGGTTCTGGTTATCGATGAAGTGTCCATGGTAGATGGAGATCTGTTCGATAAACTGGAAGATGTTGCCCGGCGCCTTCGAAACAATGGCCGTCCGTTTGGCGGAATCCAACTTGTCGTCACCGGCGATTTTTTCCAGTTGCCTCCCGTGCCAGATGGAAGCAACCGCGAGGCCAAGTTCGCGTTTGCAGCTGCTACATGGAATACGTGTATCCAACACACCATTCTTCTGACTCATGTTTTCCGTCAACGAGACCCCGAATTCGCCGAGATGTTGAACGAAATGAGACTGGGCAAAATCAGTCCCCGCACAATTGAGGCGTTCAAGCAGCTTTCTCGGCCGCTTGATTTTCATGATGCGCTCGAAGCAACGGAACTGTAGGTGCTAAAATTTCGGCACATATTGTCTAGCAAAACTAACATTCGATAGGTTCCCCACGCGGGCTGAGGTTGAGCACGCCAATACGGCCCGAATGACAAGACTGTCCGGCGATGTGTGGAAATTTGAGGCTGTGGATACCGGCACCATCCAAGACCAGCAATACCGTGACAAACTGCTGTCGAATTGCATGGCCCCTAAGTCCATCGAACTCAAAAAGGGTGCCCAAGTCATGTTGATCAAAAATATGGAGGACAACCTTGTGAACGGTTCCATTGGACGAGTGATGGGCTTCATGAACGAGGAATATTTTGACTGGCACTGCAAAAATGAAGGCAGCTTTGGGGCCGAGGACGGCGACGACAGCAATACCGACAAATCCCGGGAAAAGTTCAAAGCTATGATGCACAAGGAAGGGGTCCGCGAAGCCCGAAAATGGCCGTTGGTGTGTTTTATTCAACCCGATGGGACGGAGAGGCACCTACTCTGCCAGCCGGAAAGCTGGAAGATCGAGCTCCCCAATGGTGAAGTCCAGGCCCAACGTCAGCAGGTCCCGCTGATTCTGGCCTGGGCACTGTCCATCCACAAGGCGCAGGGACAGACCCTCCAGCGAGTCAAAGTCGACCTGGGCCGCGTCTTTGAGAAAGGACAGGCTTACGTTGCACTGAGTCGGGCCACTTCCCAGGCCGGGCTGCAAGTAACCCGATTCGAGCCGCGCAAGGTGATGGTACATCCCCGAGTGGTGGATTTCTACAATAACCTGGTGTCGATCACCGAGGTCGTCAAACCCAAGACTTCTCGCGGTGACGCTGAGGATGAGTATAACAGTCTCGATGAGTTCTGATAAGCTGGCAACAAGCAAGCAAGCACAGCATGAAACCGGCGTTGCGGGAATTTATCGACTCTTGTGTCACTCCTGTATGTATGTATTATAATATCGGACCGATGAGCGCCTATTTTCTTCATGGACCCTTGTAGTTGCGGCTTATCGATAAGAGAACGGAGCCCGCACGTGAGGGAAAGCTGTCTTGCGTCCTTCCCGTGCGACTTCGTCTGAGACACTCCTTCGCCTTCCTTGCACCCACGAGATCTCTACCCGACCAGATGATTGTGTGAGAGGGACTTCTCTTCCCCAGTTGTATACTCACCATGGCCTCCGAGTTCATTGGCTACAACGTGCTCGTGACTTTGAGAGCACCCTCTGGGGGGAAGCTCCAAGGTCAAGTCGCCAATGTGATCGGGCAGAGTTTGTTGCTGCAAAATGGTAAGACAGCCAGGTCTCTGCCTCAGACAATTTTTCTAATTGATCTCCTACAGTGACTCTTATGTGGAATGGCCAACGTATCCCCCAGTATTCGATTGATGCCGCCAATATCGCCGATCTCTCCCTGCAAACCACCACTTCAGCTCCCCCGCAGCGTCAGCATGTACCGCAAGGGGCAACTCACACGCCAGCAGCAGCTCCACCACCACCGCAACATCGCCCTCAACAACAATTCGTCGACCCTGCGATTCTGAGTTTCTCGAAACCCCCTTCCCAGCCCAACCAACCGCCTGCGCAGAGCCCTGTTGAAGCTGGCACCCAGCGCACTCCTGCAAATGTCTCAGCTGCATTGACGGAGCCATTCAGTCACCTTGGATTGAATGTGGAGAGCAGAGCAACAGAATCGTCGGGGACACTCCCGGCGAACGAGCTTCAAAATACCCAGAATGCCAAACAGACACCGAGACGCAACAGGCGGGGTAATGGAGAGGCTCTGAACAAACATGGAGCTGCTGCAAGCACCAATCCGAAGAGCAAAGGCTGGCGTCAAACCGCATTCGTAGAACCTGCAGCCCCTCCCAACGAGGCCTCACCCTCGACACCCGCTGCGAAACTTCGCAGGAAGAAGCATCGTCAGCCCTATGCAGAGGATGCCAGTGGCTGGGCTACGGAGGATGCAACGGACATCCAGGAGCTGGGTGAATTTGATTTCCAAAGCAACTTGTCCAAATTTGACAAACACCGAGTGTTCGCGGAGATTCGAAATGATGACACCACGGCAGACGAGGCGCGTTTGGTCAGCTTCAACCGGAAAGCCAAGCCTGGGACGAATGGGGGAAAGAACTTGCACTGGACGGAGAATGTTCTCGACAGCCCGCAGAACAGTGAGAGCGACGACGATATCGAGCAAATCAGCGATGCCAGACTCAGTGGCGAGACCAGATCGGGACGAGAGCGCTCCCGAGCGGCTTTGCGGATCCAACCTACTCGCAAAGGCAGCGGTGTACTGGGACAGCCGTCTTTTATCCCGCCACAAATCAACACCCTTTCGCGCAGCCAGACATTGAACACCTCCCGAACCACGAGCCCTCGGCCCGGCAGAGCGTCAGCCTCTCCCATGGTTGGCCCTGGTGTCTCCGGAGCCTCTCTCCGCCTGACTACTACCAACCGCAGTTGCCCGACGGTGAGCCCTCTGCAAACACTCGAGGTCGAGCAGATTTCGGTGGCAGAGTTTGGTTTGACCGAAGATCTCATCACTGAGAACGCGGGGCGAGGCATTGCAGAAGCCGCCGTTGCTCTTCTTTCCAACGACGCCGCTGCTCCTACTATGCTGATTCTCACTGGCAATCACCGTACCGGCGCACGCGCGGTCTCCGCTGCCCGCCACCTTCGAAACCGAGGCCATCGCGTCACCTTGTGCATGCTCGGTCTGGAACATGAAACCGAACTGCTGGAAAGTTGCCGTAAGCAGCTCGACATTTTCCGCAAGATTGGCGGCCGCGTTATGAAATGGGAGGAACTGTCAGGGCGCTTGTCCACCTCGGAAGTAGACCCTGACTTGGTCATCGATGCGCTGTTTGGCATGCACATCGCTTTCGATGATTTGCGGAATGATGACCAAGCCGTAGCGTTTGAGATGATCTCGTGGATGAATCTGGATAGTGCCAGCATTCTTTCTGTCGACGTCCCATCTGGCCTGTCGGCTACTACTGGTAGGCTTTACCTTCTCAGAAATATCCTTACTTTTACTAACATGAACAGGCGAGGTGACCATGGTCGAAGGCAGCCCACTGTGCGTGAATGCAACGTCGGTTGTATGCTTAGGTGCTCCGAAGACAGGGATCCTCAGTGCCTCTCTCTCCGGAGAGGAACTATCTTGGAGCCTCGCCGTCGCCGACATTGGGATTCCGCAGATCGTATGGCGCAAGTACGGTACCCGGCGTCGACATGGCATTGATTTCGGAAATCGGTGGGTGGTGCCTCTGCGGTTCCAGCCCTCGGCCATCTAGATCGCGGATTGTTTGCTGGCGTTCTCCCCTTAGGGTTGTGCATGGAAGGTTTCTCAGCGCGGACAAAAAAAGAAAGGATTTCGGGGCGCACATGGCAGACAGCCCTTGTACATGTATCATATTAACTGTTTCTTTTCGCTTCAATCTCTTTCATCTTTACTTGAATGGCGCCTTCTCGAAAGGCATACCTGATATCTCAGTATCAAAATATTCAATATTAACACGATTTACTTCTTGAAGCCATTGCCCAGCCATCCACAACAATTTCCTCCATTATAGTAGTCACTACTCCCCACGGGCTATGCACATCGCAACGAGGGGGATCTTTTTCCTCGCGGAGCTCGCGTATCGCCCTTGTACAAAGTTGCTACTCTACCCCGCATGGGACCTCAAGGAGCCAACTAGTCTCAGGGTTTTAGGGCAGACTAAGAATCGGAAAATTTACATCCAAGTTTAGGTAGATCGGGTGAAAGGGTCATTTCCCTGTAAAATCCCCTGGTTGGATAGTTAACTGAAATGGCGCCGAGAACGAAATGATTAAGATTCAGTAGTTCAATACACAGAAACGTGCTTAATCGCGCCATTCGAAGCCTCCAGCGACATTGGTGTAGAAATGTAACCATAAATGCGGGGACTTGCAACATAAAGAAGAGGATTCTGATTGCGATTAATTGCTTTTCAGTACAGAGAGCCTAGAAGAAGGCGCTGAACATTGACAAACATGCTTAGGGCTTTACTGGTCTCTACACTGTTGCTGCAGGCAGTGGTTTCCGGAGCAAGTACCACAGGCCCAGAGGGTGTCACACTGATCAATCAGAACTGGCTGTTTGGGGGTGAGTACACCACCGGCAGCGAGGCTCCTGGATTCGACGACAGTGGCTTCCAACAGGTTACCATCCCTCACATAGTGACGCCTCTTGGCTGGGAGCAGTGGGACAACAATACTTGGAACAAAGTCTGGATCTACCGCCGTCATTTCGACCTTCCCAGTGGTGATTCTGGTCGGACGTTCATTGATTTCGATAGTGTTCTCACCGTCACCACCGCCGTGATCAATGGCCAGAAGCTGGCAACGCACGAGGGAGGCTACTTGCCCTTCAGCTATGAAATCACCGACTACGTCAAGGAGACTGGTAACATTATTGCTGTCATTGTCGACGCGAGATGGTCCTATGTGAACCCCGAAGGCTCTCCGGCTGGTCCTGACAGTATCGACTACCTGGAGCCCGGTGGTATCAACCGAGATGTTTCTCTGCGCACAGTGCCGTCTTCCTTCATCTCTGATGTCTTTGCCAAACCTGTGAATGTCCTCAGCAACTCGCGACACGTCGTGGTCGAAGCCACCATTGACTCCGCCAAAGCTCCGGGACAGATCAAGATCAACTCACAACTCCAAGATGCGGGTGATGTGCTCTCTCATACTACGGAAGAATGGAAGATTTCCCAGCCCGGAAACTCCACATTTACGCTCAATATCTCTGCACCCAACGTCAAGCTGTGGTCCCCTAGCTCCCCAAGTCTATACCAGGTGGTCACCAGCTTGACCGTCGATGACCATGTGGTTCACACATTTATCCGCAATATCGGTTTCCGGGAAGCCAACTTCACCACGGACGGCTTCTTCCTCAATGGCGACCGATTCCAGATTTTTGGGCTGGACCGCCACCAGCTGTTCCCGTATATCGGAATGTCCGCTTCAGAACGCCTCCAAAAGCGCGATGCTGAGATTCTGAAAGAACTCAACTGCAACATGGTCCGCTGCTCCCATTACCCACAGTCTCCTCACTTCTTGGACATGTGTGACCAACTGGGGATTATGGTGTGGCAGGAAGTGCCGGGCTGGCAGTTCATTGGAAATGCTTCATGGCAGCAGCATGTCGTCTCAGATGTCCACGACATGGTCATCCGGGATCGCAGCCGTCCGTCCATCATCCTGTGGGGGACCCAGGTCAACGAGTCTCCCCGTGAACCCGACCTCTACACCCAGACCAAGAACGTTGCGCACGCTCTAGATGACAGCCGGCAGACTTCAGGGAGTGAAACAAGTCAAAGCCTGGTCAACTGGGTAGGGGACGTTTTCGCCTACGACGACTACCATAGCAAGGATGGAAACGCGATCCTGTTGCCGCCACTCACCACCGTTCCTTATCTGATCACGGAATCCGTTGGTGCCCTGGATGGTCCCAAATATTTCCGATGGATTGACCAGCAGGAGGTTGTGCAAGACCAGGCCAAGCTGCACGCCCAGGTACACGACATTGCGGCTAGCAATAATAGTTACAGTGGTCTTCTGGGCTGGTGTGCCATTGATTACCAGTCACTGAATGGGAACATCTATGAAAATGTCAAGTGGCCTGGCGTGATCGATACTTTCCGCGTGTACAAACCTGGCGCTGCATTCTATCTCACCCAGGGCGATCCGGCCAATGGCGCTTTGATTGAACCGGCATTTTATTGGGATTTTGGCTCCTTCTCACCGGTAACCACGCTGGGGGACAATGCTACAATTTGGTCGAACTGCGACACCCTGGAAGCGTATATCAACGGAGGGCATTATGCGACGCTCAGTCCCGACACCGCCAACTTCTCTCACACAGCCCACCCCCCATTCTACCTGGACACGACCAAACTCAATACCACTGCTACTTTGCCGGAGCTTCGCCTCGAAGGATACGTGTCCGGGAAGAAAGTGGCCTCGCGTACTTTCTCCGGAAGCACCGTGGGGGATCATATCCAGATCACTCTGAATGACCCCAAATTGGAGGCTGATGGCATCGACAGTACTCTCATATCCTTCCGTGCTGTGGACAAGTACGGGAACCCGCGGCCCTACGCCAGCGGCAATGCGACCATCTCCATTCGGGGCCCAGGCGAGTGGGTAGGTAGTAAATTCGCCAATGATGTCTTTCCCTTGAGCGACAATGGAGGTGTTGGGGGAGCGGTGATTCGAACCGTTGCGGGCCAGACTGGGACTATTGTGCTTGAAGTATCTCATGCGACGCTGGGCAGTGACACCGTTCAGATCCAAGCTGTTTAGTGCTTTTGACATGGAGTAGAATACAGACCATGTTAAGCCCTAACTTCAGCCTTTGTAAGATATAGTAAATGCGCTAGTCCGAAACAGGCTAGCGCACCGTCATACAATCCGCCGCGCAAAAAAGTCACCGAACCTGAGCTTCACAACATGGGCAAAGGAACGGACAAGCTCTACATCACACACTCCGAGTGGGCCTCCGAGGATGCTTTCTCCGCCAGCGCAGGCGCCGGTGTTGGGAAGGCCAGAAAGGGTGGTGCCCCGGGCGCATTCAAGCGCCTGCCCTTCAACTTCTGTTCGCTTTCCCTCCAGCCCTTCTCGCACCCAGTCTGCACACCCACCGGCATCATCTTCGACCTTACCAACATCCTGCCCTGGATTAAGAAACACGGCACCAATCCCGTCGATGGCGCGCCGCTGAAGAGCTCCGATCTGATCAAGTTGACCATCGCGAAGAATGAGGAAGGCGACTACGTCGACCCGGTCACGTTCAAGGTGCTCACGGATAACACACACATCGTCGCACTGCGCAATACGGGCAATGTATTTGCCTGGGATACAGTGGAGAGGCTGAACATCAAGGGGAAACTGTGGCGCGACCTGGTTACGGATGAGGAGTTTACTCGGAAGGATATCATCACCCTGCAAGATCCGCAGAATATCGAGTCGCGCAACCTCAGCTCATTCAATTACTTGAAGGAGGGCGATACCGAGATTCTGGAGGGACAGCAGGCGTCGGGAAGTGTGAACAAGAATGCGCTCGGTAGCTCGGCGAAGATCCTGAAAGCGAAGGAGGCGGTGGCTAAGGCTCGCGCGGAACGAGCGCAACAGGCTGGCTCTGCGGCAGCAGGTTTCAAAGCAGTCTCCAAAACCGGCGGCCCTGCGACTGCGCCTTCGAAGACGGGAACAATCCAACAAGGGAAGCCGACGCCTTACAACGCTGCACGATTCACGACCGGCAAAGCTGCCGCTTCTTTCACAAGCACGGGACTGACCCCCCACACTTCGGGCGAGCTGGCGTTGCTATCGGAAGAAGAGTACATGCTGAAACGGGGTCGGATCAAGGGTAAAGGTTATGCGCGAATCGTGACCACGTTCGGCCACTTGAACCTGGAGCTGTACCCCGAATACGCGCCCAAGGCCGTGTGGAACTTCCTCCAGCTCGCCAAGAAGGGCTACTACAAGGACGTCGCCTTTCACCGCAACATCAAGGGATTTATGATCCAGGGTGGCGATCCGACCGGTAGCGGACGCGGTGGGGAGAGCGTTTGGGGCAAGTACTTCGCCGATGAGTTCGAGGGCCCGTTGAAGCACGACTCCCGGGGTACGCTCAGCATGGCGAACAAGGGCAAAAACACGAATAGCAGTCAATTGTGAGTTGTGTTCCACTTTCTCCGGTATTTTCTCTCATCCCCGCTAACCTCGCCACCAGCTTCATCGCTTATCGAGCCCTGCCGCATCTCGATCGCAAGCATACCATCTTCGGCCGTATCATTGACGACCCAACCCCGTCGTCCACCACCCTGAACAAGCTCGAAACGCAGCCCGTGGAGTCGGCTACGAATCGGCCAACACCGGATATCTTTATTAAGGACGTCACTGTCTTCGTGGACCCATTCGAAGATTTCCTGCAGCAGAAGCGTGCCGAAGAGGCCCAGGGGGCTGCCGGCCAGGCGGAAGAAGAGGATGAGGCTACGCGTCAAGTGGACGATGACCGTGTCACTTGGACCGGCAAGCGAGTTCGGGGTGCCGGCGCGACGTCGGATGACAGCTCTCCGGGTGTGGGCAAGTATTTAAAAGCCGCGCTGGCCGACCGGGCCGGGCAAGAAGAAGATGAGATCGTGGAGTTCGTTGATGATGAGCCCGAGCCCGAGCCCGTGCGCAAAAAGATGAAAGGCACGGGGGGATTTGGGAATTTTAGTTCATGGTAATAGTTAGCTATCCTGGGGATTTTGTATATTTGAGGTCAGTTCATGGACCACCGGGCGTAGGGGTGGTCTTCTATGAATGCGGGTTCGGAGTTCGTTAATTAGGGTACAAGAAAGATGCAGTAGTCATCATCATCATCATCGTCAGTCAGGCTTCCTCATCCGGATCGCATCATCGTCGAACGGGGCCCCCTTCAACTTTCTCTCTCTCTGCTTCTTGTCCGTTTCCCATTCTTGCTCCCCTCAACACTCCTTCCTCTCCCCGCGACACTCTCACATTCATTGTAAGTCCTATAGCTGTTGAACCCTCCCTCTCCCTCTCTGCTTAGAAGTGGGGCGTCCGCGCCCAGACTGGCTATGCCACGGGGGCCGCGATGGTTGGGCACTGTGTGTTTGCGACTTCAATTTCCATTTGCATTCTCCATCGTCTGTGGATTGCTCGTCGAAGAGCTATAGTTATACTGTGTCTGATAGCTGGAGTGCCGGCGACCCTGCCTACCTCTCTCTACCTTGTTCCACTCCCCGTCCCACGTTTGTTCCGCTCGAGTACCAGCTGCTTTGTATTCCTTCACTCACCTTCCCCAACGGCTCCGAATCAGCCCTTCTTGGCAATTTGCCCCCTGCTAACATTTCTCGCACGCTCGCAGCTGAATCCCTGTGCTTCCGCGTCTCTCCATCCTCCCATCCACCGGATTTACGTCAATCGTCATCTCACCTCACTTTCACCATCCCCGAACCCCCCGCTCCTCCTATCCACCGCCGCCTTCCGGTCTGACATTCTCGTCCAGGGAGCCCGACAATCAAGCTGGCAGGAAATAAGCGCCGTAGCTTCTCGTCGCAGGGTGGGTTGCTGAACAGAATGTTCAGTGGCTCCTCGAGCCCACCCAAAGACAAGCTTGAGACACTCCCGGATACCAGCATTGGAACTGGCTCCCCGGTCCTCGAAAAGGACGAGACCAGCCCAATTCGCGAAAAGAAGTTTTCTCCCCCGGTTCGGGTTTCTTCAATCGTCGAGCCAGTGAAGACCAGGGTCCCGCCGGTGAGAAGAAGCGCCGGAGTAGTACCGTCACCAAAGCGGCCAGCTTCTTTAGCAGCGCCAAAAACTCCCTGAGCCTGAACGGGCCACGCGAATCCCAAAACCCGGCCCAGCAGGTCACGCAGAGCCCGCTACACAAGCTGGGGAAGATGGACCCGGCCCTGAGTGTCCCTCAAGGGTCGTTCAATAACTCGGCCGGAGAGTCACTGCCCACCCCCAGATCATCGTTCCACGTCGGTGTCACGGAAGACAAAAATCGAAAATGTCGTCGGACAATGGAAGATACGCATTCATACCTCTACAACTTTCTCGGGACTCCGTCCCCGACCGCACCGCCCGACATCAATGGCACCGACCCCCCTGGGGCTGCGGAAGGGTCGCAAGCATCCGATGAATCATCCAACGTCGTGGAGACGGACAATGGGTACTTTGCTATATTTGACGGGCATGCCGGTACCTTTGCTGCGGAGTGGTGTGGCAAGAAACTACACTTGATTCTGGAGGAGATTATGCGGAAGAGTCCCAACACGCCCGTGCCGGAACTGCTCGATCAGACTTTCACCAGTGTGGACCAGCAGTTGGAAAAGCTGCCGGTGAAGAACAGTGGATGTACTGCGGTCATTGCACTGCTGCGCTGGGAGGACCGGGTTCCCAGCTCACAGTCGGCCACTGGGTCCTCCGCTCTCGCCCCGGCGACTGCCGCAGCTACAAAAGGCGATGAAAACTTGGACGCTGAGACCCCGACGCAAGAAGCACAATCGGGTGCCTCGACTGTAATACCGAAACTTCAGGAGAAGGCTGCCCGGCAGCGCGTCCTGTATACAGCCAACGTGGGCGATGCTCGCATCATCTTGTGTCGCAATGGGAAAGCGCTTCGCTTGTCTTACGACCACAAGGGTAGCGATGAGAACGAAGGGAAAAGGATCGCCAACGCTGGCGGGCTGATCCTCAACAACCGTGTTAACGGGGTGCTAGCAGTCACTCGCGCCCTGGGCGATGCGTATCTCAAGGAGCTCGTCACCGGCCACCCTTATACTACGGAAACCGTGATCCAACCCGACGCTGATGAGTTTATAATTTTGGCTTGCGATGGAGTAAGTGCTTTCCCAGTAAGGACAATTTAACACAGACTAACTTCTGGGAACACAGCTATGGGATGTATGCAGTGACCAAGAAGCCGTGGATTTAGTTCGAAATATTCCCGATGCTCAACATGCTTCCAAGGTTCTTGTCGATCACGCGCTCGCACGGTTTAGTACCGACAATCTGTCTTGCATGGTTATTCGCCTTGACACGAACCGCCTGAAGGATGTTGTCAATAACACTGCCGACCCCATCGGAGTGGACGGGGATCCATCAACGAATGTCCCCCACGGCGTGAGCGAGGCCGACAAGATCTTGGAGGGTGCCCGCAAGAGCATGGAAAGCGCAGGGCTGACCGACGACGCAGAGTGGGCGGAGAAGACCAACGAGGATATTCTCCAGCGCATGGCTAACGCCAACGCCAACGAAGAACCCGGGCCCGAAATAGCTACAGATCTACCTTCTGTGGATATCCTGAGCCCTAACAGTGTGCCTAAAGAGACACATTGAATGAATGTACCATGAGCCACGCCGTGCCCGACTGGCCTCCTTTTTCTTCCATCGCAAAGAAGCAGCCGAGCAGGCCGATAGAATACATTGTCCACCCATTGTTGTTTTCTTCGTTTCCCTATCATTCGATGCTTCCGAGAGAAAAGAAAAGTCCAGTCCAGCCGATCCGGTTCTGAATTTTCTGTTATCGTGCTACTATTGTCCACCCTCCAGAATTCCATCGCACGTCGGCGTCTTTTTGCTTTTTTTGTCAGCTGGCACCATTCTCGAGTCGGCATATGGACCTGGTTGTCTCACAAAATGCCCTTTTTATTTATCTTGTTGCCAACCATATCACTATCTTTTCTTCCAGTCCCTCCCATTCGGACTACCTTATGAATGTCAGATGCTTTTGCCTTCTCCCCTTTCCGCACCCCCTGTTTTCTTTGGTTTTATTCACTTCTTCTCTTCGCGGCCTATTGTGTATGTAAGGCTATCTGTACTGAATTATCCCACTCCGATGGGCTTTTTTTCTTTCTATGCCCTTCTTAACGACAGCGCAGTACCTATCATATAATCACCTCCTGTGGATTGTAGAATTGCCAAAGCAAACGCTACAAGAAACACACAACCCGTAAACAAACCACCAAGAAGTATCCCTAGAGACAGGTCTTTGTATGGCGGGCGGTTCGAGGTAACGCCGAAGGATATCCGAGAAATTTGGAGCTGGAGAAGCGGCCGTAGTAGACCTGTCTCATGTTTTTCTTGTTGAACTGGCGGTTTGGCGGTGACATCTTGACTCAGTATTACTTCTTGTATAATGTTGAATATTATTTCAGCTTAGCGAAGATGGCTAATGTATGGCTCTAGGGATACTAAGCGCCGTGCCCTATTTAGATCAATTAATCTCACTCCAAGCGCCTTATAACAGACAATCTCCCGTCGAAGCGCTGCCCTTGTTACAGGGAGCTCATATGAAACACCCGATCCTATTTAAAAAAAGAAACAATTGCAAACACAGAAGCAAAGACAGAATTAAATCCGTCCGCGTCTAACTTAGCCGCCTCGGCCCCAGGAGGGGTTCGAAGCAGACAATAATAGCCAATTTAGATCCGTTTTGAATGTGATCCCTGTGAATTTATTAGGCGGTACCTGAGTAGAGAGTTTGATTAAAGCGCTTACAGTTCGTAGCATTGTCCGGTGGCGGAGTACAAAAAGAGGGAGATATACAGCACAATTGTATACTTCAGACATCTTTTCAGTTTTATGAGATCCCAACAGAAATTCTTAATCAAGCGTTTGGCATTTACCTCCTCAAGCGCAGTTACAATGGGCTGCGGGTTCAGCAAGCAGGTGGAAGAAGTGCCACGACATGTTAGTACAATTCCGATTTGTGATTAGAAACAAACTGATAAATTCCATTCTAGATATTTTCGCTCCCTCGAAAGACTCATTTTAAGCTCAAAGACACCACCTCCTCCGATTACAGCGCAGGAGATTACAACCCGGACCCACGGCCATTCCCCTACTACGACCGCGAAGGCATCTTCAAAGAAGAAACAGCCACATTGAAACCGCTGCCGGGATTCGAAGCCAGTCCTGGGCAGGACGCACCAGTGCTATGGGCTTATCCTGACATCTACTTCGGCTTCGATTACAGCGCTCAGAATGGGGTTGGTGGTGCCTCCGAGCAGGATACGGGTCCACATCTGATCATCACGGATCGGGATAAGAAAATCGTGGGCTTAATCACGTATTCTCTGGACGAACGGGGAAAGTTGATTAGGGCTGCGGAGCGGGTGGTTCTTGTTGAAGCGCCGAGTAGGAGGATGATGTCTTGTTGGGCCTGGCGCCGGGGGCTTCAGCGGCAATTAACGGATATTAAGGAGGAAGATTGATATCGAGCGTAATATGGGATGAGGCAGGATCCTTGTTACCTTGTTTCTCTCATTGGTTCATGGTTTGCTTTCTGAATTGGCGTTGAGGGAGTATGTCTAAAAATACAATTTATGCAGCTAAAAGCTCTTAATACACAAGAAGACATGGTAGGAAAGGAAAGGATGACCGAGGAGCATCGCTCAAGACAAAGTGGAAATACCAACTGGCGGATCTTTCGTCTGGTGCCGAATGACTCCCTCTCAAAGGAGACAAAGAATCCTCTAGTGCGTCTCCGCTTCCGCCTTCGGGCCTTCCGCCGCCTTCAGCTTGGGCTGGATAATTTGCCTCTCAACGGGGATAGTAGACCTGGCAAACCACCAGCCTGGCTGTAGTTCACCATGCTCGACGCTGTTGGGCCAGGAAGCGGCGTAGTTCGCATCGTAGACATCGCGCCAGAGGATCTTGAACTCCCCAGGTTGCTGAGGGTAGTTGCCATCCTTATCGCTGATCCGGATGGTCTTGCCGGTCTGGGCACTGAGCCAGGTTTCAAATCGCGTGATCCTGGCAGCTCGCTTCGCGGCGACCCTCTTCTCGGCCTCGTGGACCTGCAGAATGTCCCGGACCCAAGCCTTCTTCGTGAATTTCCAGCTCCATATGGAAAAAGGCATCTTCTTCATGGTCTCCATGAGCTTGTCGTATTTGGTGTTTTTGCCAATCCGGTCCAGCAATCCGTTCTTGATTTCTTCTTCCTGGATGGCCAGCACGGCAGAAACATCGGCGATGGAGGTAGCCTTCTGATCCATCAAGACCCGCGCGCGCTCCTTCTTCGACATGAAGTGGCCTAGTCGGTGCTTATTGATCCTATCGAACTGCTTTGCAAGATTGGGGTCCTTTGGTCGAATCTTCGCCAGGAATTCTGGGGTGACGGTGATCATCTCCGCGGGAGGCTTGAGTTGGCGCTGCTTCGAGAACTCGCGGAGCATCTTGAACGCGCGCAGCCCAAGTCTTGGGTCGGCAAAGTGCACGGAGTAGTAGGGCACCCACATGTCGGTGCGCAGCTCGGCGGGGACAGTCTGCTTGCCGTGGTAGATCATCTGACGGAGGACGTTGTTTTCCTAGACATTGGGAACAGGATTAGGAATTGTGGTAGGAATTGATCAAACGATCACTCATCACTCACCTCCAGCTCTCGGGTCAGCGAGTAGACCACTTGCTTGGTCCTCACATGATGGTAGACAAAAATGTGTTTCCCGTGCGACATGGCGTGCAGAGCCTTCCGTAGCCTCGCTGCTTCTCGGGACTGGAACTCCTTGGTCGCATTGGACCGTGGATGCCGCACTCGGCCTTGTATCGGTGTCTGGGTATCAATTGGCGGGTTCCGCACAAAGCCAATGGCGGTCAGCTTCGATGGGTGTATGAAGGTGACATTGTCGCGAGTGGTGACCTCCTGGAGGATTGTTTGGAGCGACTTCCAATAGGATTTGCGCATAGACACAGAGGCCATTGCGGCCGAGGTGCACAGTCTGCGGACAGTCCTAGGAGGCAGTGGAAAGGAAGTCGTGGTGTGGATGGGATGGAATGGTGGTGGAGTTGAGTTGGAGTTGAATATTGGAAGGAGGAAGAAAAAGGACATGGGCCAGTCGAGGATTTTTTGGGGTCTTGGCGCCCCGTCCGACTCTCCGCAGTCACAACACAACTACCCTAGAGCTCCATCCATCCATCCATTATGCTCGTCTGCACATAATTGTCTGTCTGTCCCGGCCTCCATCATGGCCTCGGAGCAGGATCCCCCTAGCTCACGCAGAGACCGGCCATGGCTGTACGCCTCGGTATCGTCGATGCCCACCTCCGTATCCATTCGCAGACTGACAGACGTCTCTAGAACCGCAAGCTGCGACATCTCCATGGCGTCTCCGTCCGCAACCTGATCGTCACACCTCCAAGTCGAGCTCGTGGCAAAACCATAGACGACGATGATATCCCCAACACCCTGACGACCCCTTCCAAGATTCTCGCCCAGAACGATGCCCGAACCCTACATCCTTCCCGATCATTCACCGATCTCAAGTCGCGTGCCAGCTCAGAAAGCCATGTCGACCGAAAAGATAGGAAGCCTGAAATGCGCCGGTCGCGTCGGAGGAGCACCCTCCCCTGGAACGATCCCAATCCCCGGACGCGCCAGGTCAGACTGGAGGACATCACCAACAGCCGCATGGCGGATACTTGGTTTTCAATCCATTGCGAGGGCCCAGAAGCCCCGATCTATATCAGCGAGGTGGTCAACAGCGCAACAAACCCCAGCTTTCAAGCTTTGGATTTGAATATGTGCGGCCCGCTGGTCTCCCGACGTGACTCCTTGACACTGAAGCTATGGGCGAAGACGGCAACGATGCCAGAGCACATACTGTTGGTGGAACTACAGCTCAATCTACGCTCCTTGCAATTCTTGGGGAAAACTCTTGAACACTTCCACCAGCCGCTTCCTGCAAATTCCATTCTGTTTCATTTTCCGGACGGCGTGTACACTAATCTCACTGATCTCCCACCAGTGGAGACCTCTCTCTACGGAACGGGCCAGCGAGCTACTGGTGATGGGACGGTGCTACCCACTTCCTCTTACGACACATTGATGAAACTGGCAAACCTGGACGAATGTATACAAGACGCGCTAGCAACGCGCGAGAAACTGGAGACACAGATCAGCGCTATGCTGGAGAAGAACCAGGTCGCGCTAATGAGTGTAAGCGACGCGGCGCAGGCGCAAGACCGGCTGTCCCTGACCCGGCAGGCTATTGCCGCCGAACGGCGGCGGCTCCGAGCGGCAAACAAGCGCAAAGACGAGTTGATCGCTAGCATTAGAACTCGGAAGGAGGCAATGGAGCAGGGCCGTCAAGCCCAAGAAAGGGCTCGAAGCCACCTTCCCGATGCCCAGGAGAAACTGGTCTCCAGTGAACAAGTCCTCAACCAGAGTGCAGACGAAGCCAAGGGCCAGATTCGGCGAATTTCCGAAGACCTACTGACCATCTACCCTATCGAGCCGATCGCCGACAAGCCGCTGGCCTTCACCATTGCCGGGTTAGCATTGCCAAACTCTTCCTTTGACGACATTGACCGCGAGGCCGTTGCAGCGGCCCTGGGGTACACTGCCCACCTCGTGTACCTGCTCTCCTTCTATCTCTCAATGACCGTCCCCTACCCGGTCAGCCCGCACTTGTCGACTTCGTTGATCCAGGACCCGGTGTCCGTGTCGCTCCCCACACGCACCTATCCCCTGCACCCAGTCAATGTCCACTACCGATTCGAGTACGGCGTCTTTTTGTTGAACAAGAACATTGAGTTTCTGCTCAGCAAACTGGGACTGCGTGTGTTGGACATCCGGCATACCTTGCCCAATCTGAAGTACCTTCTCTACGTGCTCACAGCGGGCACGACGGAGATTCCTTCGCGCAAAGCTGGAGGCATCCGAGGCCTTCTGGCGGGCCGATGGACCCCGAATCTGTCACGACGGGGCAGCGTAGACAGCACTGCGTCGGGCGAGCTGGTGCAACCACGCAAGGCCTGGGAGTCGGTCTCGCGCATGAACGGTAGCATGGACAAGGGGAAGCGGTTGGCCGTCACCAGTGGCTCTTCGTCATATCGAGTGACCTGAAACAAGCATCATACATATAAAGTTGTAATTAATAGATGGCTGGTCCGACATGATTATTGCTCAATTCTGTTAGTAAATAGTTAGGGTTGGTTAACAGTTAACTTTTTTGCCCGTCTTTTGTCCTTAGTCATCACCCCACCGCGCTCTCTTATCTTCGCTTTGCGTCGGCTTCCCCAGCATCCCGCCCAATCCACCTCACCAAGTACAGACGATCAGTAACATGGCTGGCCAAGATGCCTTTGCGAAGTCGCCTTCGCCGCAATCTCACCACCGCCGCGGTTATCAGGCCTGCGATCCGTGTCGCAAACGCAAGGTCAAGTGTGATTTGGGCAGTATGTTCATTCCTCACCCCTCTCAGCATTGTTGTGCTGGCTCTCTTTTTTATTTTTATTTTTGCTGTACTTTTGTCTGACGACCCCCGAATTAAAAAGGTGTCGATAATCCTCGTCCCCCACCATGCGTCCGATGCCGTCGCGAAAGCAAGCGATGCGAGTTCTCGGCCACTCGACGCAAGCGCAAGCTCTCCGACGCAGCAGAGGAGGAGCCTGTCGAGCCGGCCGTTCTGCGTCGCGACAAGCGCATGATGATTGGCGAGGTAGCACAGAAAGAGGCGTTGAGTGATGACTCGCCCTTCCCTCCATCTGAGCAGACTTCATTCGATGCCGATGGCATTCGCGCTCATCAGAAATGGTCCGAGCCGTCCCCCGCAGCGGCGACCAGCCAGCGCTACACCCCCAATGCGCCTGCTCCCCCAGCGCCATCCTTCTCGGATTCGAGAAACCTCCGGATGTCCATGTACCAACTCGGCGACCGACATGCACCATCTGGCTACGGCCTTGAGGGCGGGCCCATGATGAACCGGACTGCCGTGGAATTGCTGTCGCCTGCCATCAGCAATACCCATGATGCGCTCCATTTGCTCTCGGAAGCAGCGGGCAGAACAGAGGATCTCAACCGTCAGAGGTTGGAGAATCGATATGCTGCGCGGCAGTCGGTTTCTTCATTTAATTCTGGGCCCTCGCCACTGGCACAAGGAAGCTCGCCGCGGAGTTTGGGCGGATCATTTGCGAGGACACCTCGCCAGGGAGGGGCCAGCTATTACCAAGGTACATCGGGTCCTGTAGATCCTCAGATCTCGGAAGGAGGCGGCCATCGAGACAGCCCGACGAACACCCAGGATCCGGGGTACGTGGATGCCGTTCGTGCGTGGTCGCGGCTGCGCTTCGTGCGTGCCGGGTGGCTTACGGTTGAAGAGGGCATGGATTATGTGGCATAGTAAGACTTTCCTTCTTCATATCAACTGGGCGTTGGCTAACTATGAACCAGTTACTATGAAAACCTTGCACCGATGAGCCCCGTCGTGATTCCAGATTTCTCCAACCCTTCGACCCATCGTACATTGCTTACAGATGAGCCAGTGCTGGCGGTCACCGTTCTCACGATTGCTTCTCGACATCTGAAGCCCAAGGGTGATGGAGCCGCCACACGAGCATTTTACATCCACGACCGCCTCTGGTCATATCTGCGTGGCATGATTGAGCGCCTTTTCTGGGGCCAAGAAAAGTTCGATGCTGGTGGAGGCATCAGCCGGCCCCGATCGCTGGACCTGGCTCCAACTTCCGGTAAGGTCAACGTGAAAGGGAATTTGAGAGCATTGGGGACGGTCGAAGCCATGTTGCTTCTGACCGACTGGCATCCTCGGAACCTTCATTTCCCTCCGGGCGATGATGAAAATACGCTGTTGGACATGGATGGCCAGACGCAAAATCGTTCCGACAGGGATATAGACACCGAAAGCGACCCGTCGAATAACCGCGGGTCCTCTAGCGCTGCGGAAGGCCGACTTGCCTTTCAGAAATGGTTGGAGCCAGCGTGGCGATCCGACCGGATGTCATGGATGCTGCTGAGCACGGCGCAAGCCCTGGCTTTCGAACTGGGCGTTTTTGACCACAAGAGCGAGTCCAAAGCTGCCAACGAGTCTCCCGCTGAGCAGACACGGAAACGCCGACTGCGTCGTCTCATCCTAGTCTTTATTACACAGAACAGTGGGCGTCTAGGAATTCCCTCCATGCTTCCCTTGCCACAGTGGGGTCAAGACATCCAGCCGATTGCCCCCGATGCCAAAGACAACGACGCCAACATCGACCGGATGCAAGATTGTTGGATTGACATCTCCAAGATCATGTATCAGAGCAACCAGCTGCTCTTTGCTTCGAATGAACAGACCTCAGAGCTGATCCGAAGTGGGAGATACCGGGATCAAATTGACCGATTTCAGCCTTTCCTACGTGATTTTAAGGAAAATATCGACAACATATCCCGTGAGTTTATTTCCAAAATCCAGCGTGCAGGATGCTAATTATTGTACAGTGGCTCCATCTATGCGAAGCATTTTGATGATTGAATACGAATATACCCGTGAGTTCCTTTCTCAGAGAGTCTGGAAGACTGTGCGCTGACATATGATAGGCCTCTATGTCAACTCCCTGGCTCTGCAGGCCGTGGTAGATCGATGGACCACCATGTCCAATGAGTCGGCTCAGACCCAAACCGGACGGCCAGGCTCGGGTCCGTCATCGGGTAGCAGCGGGTGGTTCGGGACGTTGATGGACATCTATCGCGTCAATGAGCAATATATCCAGGAAGTTGTGGATGCTTCGCGGAAGATTCTACAACTCGTTCTAGACGGTCTTGTCCCCGGAGACCGTCTGAAGCATGCACCGATTCGGACATTCTTCCGAATCTTATCGGGCATGATCTTCATCCTAAAGGTAACATCCTTGTCCCATGTCTCAGAAACAGATACTAAATTGTGCATAGACTTTCACGCTAGGTGCTCGAGAAGACGACGTGCGTGTTTCTCTCGACTTGCAGGACCGGACGGTCGAGGCGCTCCGTACCTGCGTCGTCGATGACGTTCATCTTAGCAATACCGTTGCGCGGTTGCTAGAGCTTCTCACGAGCAGCATTCGCACCCGATTCCTGCGCTTCGCACCTCATGACCGCGGTGCAGATGGCGAGGGCCAAGACCGCACATCAGCTCCTGTCTCGCGAGCTCAGTCGCCTCCGCGTGAGAGTTCCACTCATCGTCGTGATGGTCCACACACACCTTGGGCATCTGCCCAGGACGCGACCCCGGGTGGGAGTGGCCTCGGATACTTGGATAGCAACGGCGCCAGCAGTACTCCCATGGGAACCAGTCACGACCCGCTGGCCAACATCCCCGCGCAGCCGATCAACTCGTCCAATCTCAACGTCTCGTTCATGCCGCCTCCGCCATCCGTGTACTACAACTACTACGACCCGAACTCCAATCAACTCTCGGGAGACATCGACCGGCCATCCCCAAATCACGTTGCCTCATCCCAGTCGATGGATGGGACCAATGCATCCGGCGGGCTTCCGGACTGGTTCGCCCTACCGCTGGACCAATTCTTTAACAGCTCAACCGCGGTGGTCGATCAGGGTCTTGGCGGAACCGGTCCGATGCTGGGAGAGTTTGATATGTTGGAAGTGCTTCTGAACGAGGGGTATGACGGCAATGCGAACGGGGAGGGCGGCGACTCGACGGGAAGCGGCACGCTCCCGTCCCAGTTTCTGCAGTCGTGATCGTCACGATGTGTTGTCAGTCCGTGGGGTGTCTGCCTTGGAATAAGCACAGAACCGCAAGGATTTGTGATGTGTACTTTATTGATTCTCGGTTTTAAAGTATTATACCCCGGCCGGGATCGTCAGTCTTGGCGTCGCAGGTGTTGGCTATGCTTCGGAGTGTGATTTGATCCCGTGTAATATGCTTGAAACCCATTTGTTCCTGAGCTTTCCCCATTGCGGTCTTGGTTTCCGACGTAGATGCTTTGTCTTGGAATACTCTTTGTCGCGGGTCCTGCCTCATCCGGGTTGTGTTTGTTTCTGGAGGAAATGATCCAGGGCCAGGCACCGGGGGTACGTGCTCATTCGCCGGCGTGGTCCTTGGAACAACCGGTCTCCGTCGGCCGGGTAGATTCTGGATGTACGCAGTTGGCAGCCGTGGTTTCATCTCTCCACCCCGTGCCGACAATTCACATGGTGCATGGAGGGACCCTCGTGCGCCTGTTCGGGCCTCTCGGGTGGCTGGCGCCATGCATGCATGCTACGTGCCGGACCCTAGATACTACAACCATTCCTGTTTTGGCGAAAGAAGGGCAGGGATGTGTGACAGCTTGGGCAACTGGTGATCCAGCATTGAACCTATCGCAGAGCAAGGCGGACCTCGAGGCTGAGCGGAGCCCTATCGGAGCCCACGGTTGAGCGTGCGAGTTCCTGGGTGTTTCTATGGATAGAAACGTGAATCATCGCCTCGGCCAGACCGATGATAAGAGGATTTCCCCGCGTGAGGGTGGTCGTCGTTGCATTGTGTGTTGGGCATAAGGGTCAACTCCTGCAGACAAGACAGAAAGGGTATCGCAGAGCCTTGCACATCACGATGATCCGCACTATATTAGGGTATTGCAAGAATAGTAGCAGAAGCTGATCGATCCTGATGAGGCGATAAGAAGACGCCCGTGCTCCGTAAAGGGTCACATCGCTTTTTGGCTGTCGATCATTTCGCCGTCGGGGTCCCCGGGGGTCAGCTAACCAGAATCAGTGCGAAGGATTCTGATACATTGATCGGGGGAGGGCCCGCGCTTAATCCTGCAGGGTGTTGGTGATGGATATCTCTCTGGGCCAGGGCAATGAGCGGACGCCCGGCGGCCCCTGGGGATAATTTTCATTAAGAAGGTGTTTCAGCTGGAAACCATGGTCGGTACCTGCGTGGAAGCCCGATCTCTGTTTCAGAGTTGAAGCACCCCGAAGGTTCGAACCCAATGCCGCACCAGAGAAGTCGATCGGCCAATAACCGTGGGATACGCGGAGCCGATGTGACCCTGAAAGGGTAAAAACCCACGACGGTCGGGCGTGGGAGCGGCTATTGGCTGGTGGCGTTCAGGGAGCTGGGCGATAACGGGCGATGATCTTCAGGGCGATGGGGACTCTAGTCTCGATCTCCAGGCAAGTCACCACGCAGCCCTCCGTAGGTGAAGCTGACTCGTGGTCGATGCCCTCCGTGGAAATCTAAGCCGCTGATGGAGATCAACCACTCAAGACCCAATATGGGGACGCGCGGACCTCTCCGTTCTGGCTAGAGCAGGGAGAGCCAAGTGCCTGTGTTGTGCTCCGCGGTCGTATTGGCTGCACATCCATCCCCGCCGCGTTCGACTAGTGCTATCAGACCCATTGGGCCATCTCCGTCTTCACGAGCTGGGATTGCAGCTTCCGGGCTCTGGTTTGCCCTTTCCCCTCCGTGGCGGGTCCCGTCCGCCGTGACATCCCATCCTGCTATGTCCGGTGGAGTCCGTGATGATCTTCCACCGCGATACTGCCGCGTCTCTGCAATGACCGGATCGTCATCGCTGGCTTCCTGGAAGAGAAACATCTCCTGGATGATGGATTTTATGGCCAATCCATGTCCAGAAGGTTCGTTAGCTCCCCAAAAGTTATAAAGATGGCCTCGATTCCGGTCTATATCTCTTGGAAATCAACTCGCTCTCCACCAGTCTTTCTTTCCCTTCAAGAAACAAAAAGTCCGAAACATCAATCATCATGGTTGTCTTCAGCAAGATCACCGCCGCTCTGGCCCTGGCTGGCGCCGTCTCTGCCGTTCCCCACGGCAAGCCCAACGCCAAGTCCTTCTCCATCGACCAGGTCGCCAAGAGCGTGACCAACCCCAAGGGCGTCAACCTGGCTCGCATGTACCAGAATGCCCTGCTGAAGTACGGTGCCACCGTGCCCGCCAGCGTCAAGGCTGCTGCTGAGCACGGCTCCGTTACCACCACCCCCGAGAACAACGACGAGGAGTACCTCACTCCCGTCAATGTCGGTGGCACAACCATGCACCTGGACTTTGACACCGGCTCCGCCGACCTCTGGGTCTTCTCGTCCGAGCTGCCCCAGTCCCAACAGGCTGGTCACTCCGTCTACAAGGCCAGCAACGCCTCTGCTATGCCCGGATACAGCTGGTCCATCAGCTACGGTGACGGCAGCTCCGCTAGCGGCAACGTCTTCAAGGACGCCGTCACCGTCGGCAGTGTCAAGGCTCCCAGCCAGGCCGTTGAGGCCGCCGCGAAGATCAGCTCGCAGTTCGTGCAGGACAAGAACAACGACGGTCTGCTCGGCCTCGCCTTCAGCTCGATCAACACTGTCAAGCCCAAGGCCCAGACCACCTTCTTCGACACCGTCAAGTCCAGCCTTGACAAGCCTGTCTTCGCCGCTGCCCTGAAGCACAACCAGCCCGGCAGCTACGACTTCGGCTTCATCGACAGCTCCAAGTACACCGGCTCCATTGCCTACAAGCCCGTCGACAGCTCCCAGGGCTTCTGGATGTTCACCGCGGATGGCTACAAGGTCGGCAGCACCTCCGGCTCCTCCATCAAGGGTATCGCCGACACCGGCACCACCCTCATGATGCTCCCCACCGACGTGGTCTCTGCCTATTACAAGCAGGTCAGCGGCGCTAAGGAGAGCTCGCAGTATGGCGGCTACGTCTTCGACTGCTCCTCCACCCTGCCCGACTTCACTGTCACCATCGGCTCCTACGACGCCGTCGTCCCCGGCAGCATCATCAACTACGCCCCCGTCTCCTCCGGCAGCTCCACCTGCTACGGCGGTATCCAGAGCAACTCTGGCCTCGGGTTCTCCATCTTCGGTGACATCTTCCTGAAGACCCAGTACGCCATCTTCGACTCTGAGGGTCCCCAGATTGGCTTCGCCGCTCAGGCATAAATCTTCTCTCTTCGTCTCAGGCAAAAGGATTGCTCCTTTTTAGCTCGTGATTAGCGAGTGAGAGGAAGAGTCTGATCCTTTTCCTTTGTTTTCGAGAGCTGATTGGTTTTGCGAGCTGGCTCGCCCACTCGCTTCTTGTTTCCGAGTGTTTTCCTTTGGGCTGAGGTTTTTGACACAACCGGCCTTGTACATGGTGTCCATGATGATTTCAGAACATAACCACAATATACATGCGTTGGCTTTTCATCATTCATTACTTCCACTCTTCTTCGTAAGCATCTGACCAGTAAATCAGTTATCTATTCTACGATTACCGGTAAGCGTGCGACTTTGGAGTAACACAAGAGACTACTGACTGGTCTCCATCACAAAATGCATTTAGGCCCGAGTGGCCGATGCTGCCATCCTTGGAGACTGACCAAGGCGTCTCCCGACCTCCTACTACTACGACCGTGCGTTCCTTGCCTGATCCTCTTCGCCTGTGCAGCGTAACGGTGTCCCGGGATAGGAGCGGGGGCCATCATGAGCGCGCCCAAAGTTGCATTTTCTTTCTCTCTTTCCTGCTCGAGTCTGTTTGTGTTGTGTGCTGTCCGTCGCTAATTTAATCACATTACAGTCCCATCATCCTTCAGCTCTCCTGTTGTAATTCAAACGTCTGCAGTTTTCCATCCAGACGGATCCTCGTGAAGACGGACCCCGGTCCTTCTAGGGGAGGTCACCTGGCAGCGTACTCTGTAAGCAGCCCCTTAAGAATCCTAAGTGTATCGTGGGACAAATCAGATGCTGTAAGTTGGCTAAAAAGGGCTGTACGACTAAAGATACAAGAGGAGTTCGATGCTAAGCAGGCTACTATCATGAACATTGAGCGCCAATTCTAAATATATATATTTCGGCCCGAAGATTGTATTCTACTAGCGCATATATATCTGGTTGAGGGACTGTTCTTACGGCAATATCCCAGCTCCTGAAGCTTAAGAGGCAACGCTAGTAGTAATACGAGCTCACAATAATGTTTTCATCCTTGAAGGCAGACCATTCGCTGTGTATATCTGAGTTATCGAGGACTGCCTTTTGGACACCAGAGGCTAGTCGGGGAATGCTTTTCGCTAATTGTCTTGTAATTGTCGGAAATAGCTTCATCGCATTCCCCTACCCCCCTCGTTCCTCTTGAAGAAGAAGCTTGCTCCTAGTATCGTCTGTTGTTGGAAGCACCTAGCCACTGTGCGAGAAATTGTCGATTTCCCTGTCCCGGCCATTCCCTTTAACCAGAAAATACACTTTCCGTGCGGTGACACAGCCCATTCTGCGATCTCGTTAAGAAGTTCGGTTCTAGTGCCTGCAAGACATTCGTCTTCATGCTGATTCGTATAAGAGTCAAACTCGGCCCCATTCGCAATTGGTAGCTTATCCAGACGATCTGAATTCGGTCAACTATGTTCCACCGACTTTGAAAGTTTCATAATTTACCTGCATTCAGATTGAACTGAGCGTTGATTGTGCCATTATTGATGGCTGTTTGCATTCCAGAATTAGGATTATGGAAAGATATCGTAGATGTCATTATCAAAATGATAGCACAGAGGTTCGGAACTCAGGTGGGCCATGCTGGCGGGGTACGCGGTCACTTACAGCCCCGAACCGCCATGTGATATTCTATTCGCTATTTGGCGATGAAGATGAATGATCCCAAAGCACGCACTGTTTTCGCGACCTTTAGATTATGCTCCCTAACAGCTACTTTTGAACTTGTGTGTAGGCGTCGCAAACGAACCGCACCAAATAAGAGGCAGACAGAAAAGTTTCACCATAAGCTTGGCTCTTCATCATAACATCCCAAACAACCGTTCCCTTCCTTGCCCTTCAGTTTCCGATACATCCCCTCTATGTGATGCTGATAAGTCTTTTCAACCTCCCTTCTGATCACTGTCATTTTCATGGTCCGCTTGAATGGCAAGGCTGGGTCGGATAACATGACCATCTCCCTTGGGATGCGAATCTCATCATCGTCCCTTTTGTTGATATCTTTGATAACAATGTCATAAATGCAGCCCAGGAACTGATTTGGATCCTTGATGTCGCTGTAGTCTTTTGGTTCAATGATGATGTATGGCACAACCCGACCTTCGCCTCCGACAACGACCGAGCTCACCTGAGGATGCCGCGAAACCTCGTCTTCAATGTGCGCGGCGTGGAATTTGGCCAGCCAGGACAGTTTCACAAGGTCATCTTTGCGCCCGCGAGAGATCCATCGTTGTGAACCGTACTTATCTATCACTGGGTAGTATAGTTCAGCGGTATCGATGGAGTCGAGAGATGGAAAGGTGTAAAAGCCACATTGGAAGAGTTGATGTTCGGGTGTGCGGTCGATGTGCAATTCGTATAAATCCTCACCCACTTGCTGAAATCGAGGGCCCATTTCTGGGACAAACTCGTAGCTTTTCCACATTGCCACATCGTTTGATTCAAATGACAATTGCGCTCCTCGTTCTGTTGATCCAATAACCGGGAATAGATGGGTGTGCTGTGCTAGCTCGTCGCCAACAGTGTTATCCAGTCCCGCTCCCAGCCAACAAACGTAATGAAGGCTCTTCAGAAACGCAAACGCCTCCTTTTCATTGTAGAAATCTTCTATCAGTGAAGGAGGAGTAACAATGCTATTGGCCCCTGTGTGCTGGCAGATCCGTATGATGGATTGCGGGTCGAACGGTGCTGTCATGTCAGAAGGCAGCATCACTGACGTGAGTCCAAGAAAGGCTGACGCATTCAGACTGAAAGCTAAGCCGGCTAGCCATTGTGGAGCACATGTTGTCAGTGTCAGTGCATTTTCCATATGCCGATATGTGATCTTTCGTGGGCTGTGTCTCGACATGATTGTCTTCCAATTATCCCAGACAGACATGTATCCGTTGCGAAGGTAGATCGGACTTGGATCACCTAAAAGGGAAAAGACTATTAGAATATTTGAAATATACAAATCTTGTTAGACATACCTGTTGTGCCAGATGTATGGATGATACAAACGACGTCGTCCTTTGCTTGCTCCCAAGTTTCGTCGTAAGGATATGGAGAAACAAAATCATCTCCAAGCATATCATCAAGATATGGAAGCACATAACATTTCTGTCCTTCAACTGTACTGGGCTGGTCCTGCGTAGAAATCCAGGCAGTGCATCGAATCTCGGCCAGAACCTTGGTTAGCCCAGTGGGAGTGATTCGTCCGTCCGGGATAAAAATCTGTGCCGAAACGGTTCAGGACATAGACATATCAAAAGTAAGTAGACTTCTCACAGTTCGTTTAGATTTGGCAGCCGCAACCATGAGGATATAGTACCTAGCATCGTTGGGTCCAAGGTAGGCAATCGTATCCCGACCTGGAGACTCTCGAGGGATATTCTCGTCTAACCAGAACGCAGCCTTGTTTATAGCGTTGGCAAACTGGCTCCATGTAATCGTGCGAAAACCCCCTTCTTGCTCCCACAGTGAAGAGCGGGCATATAGAAGCCATGGAGTGCTGGGTATAGACTTGGCTTTGGCGTCAATGACGTTGGCAAGCAACCTTGGAAAGTGAGCCATGATGCTGAACAGCAAGTGAGCGACTTTTCTTCTTTCAATTGAAGATGAATGAAACCCAAAGATAGGGAGCATATCTGGGCAGTTAGAAGCTTATATACTTCAGCCTTACCATGATATACAGTACATTGAGCTGAAACCCCCACTTGATAAGTATGTAAGCATGTGTTGGCAAGCTGACAATTTCGCAAAACGATACGATTTTGACATAGAACCAGGCATTATGTCTAGAAAGAGAAGCTCGCAAATTAGCGCAATTCGGGCTAGCGGGTCCTGCAGCAGATTTCGGAGTATGCGGGTCTCGCAATGACGTGAGTTTCAGGCTACCTAAGTCTGTAGTCAATTGTTTGGCCTATCATAATGTAATGTAATTCAGAGGTAGATGCATAATGCGGCTGCAGTCTTGACTAGCGCGTTCAGCCGCACTGACAGCTGAAAATAAACGAAGATTATTCCAGTCCAAGAGGTCCCTCTCCCCCACCATCTCGAGAGCAGTCTACAGTATTGTTGTAATCGGTAGTAATTGTCGCGCTACACTCTAATTCATTAGCGTTTTCTATATGTGAAGAGTAGTATGTCATGTAGGTGGCGTAGCTACCCACGGAATAGCATTTTTTGTAGCATGCTGCCGAGAACCATGCGATGGTTGGTTAGTATGGACGCGCAAGTGGGATGATTAATGCCTGAAAATTCGAATCTACAAGGGGACAGATGAGAAAGAAAAAATCAGACTAGTAGAAGTTATGTCGCACTGATAAGCATTCTAAACATCGGACTGGCCGACTGAGCCGAGTCGCCATAGGATGGGGCTGTGCCGCATCAAACGTCGGACTGGCCGACTTAGCGTCAAAGCGAGGGGCATTTGATGCTTGATCGTTGTGAAATACAAGTTCATATATAATCGTGACATGAGTGTGAGATAATCTAAGAAACAGCTTCGCTTTCATCTTACTTCACTATGCCCAGTGATCAACTTCATGTCGCGATTATTGGTGCGGGCCTCGGAGGCCTAGCAGCAGCGATCGGAATATCAAGGACCGGCCACAAGGTCACTATTCTAGAGCAAGCGGAGGAGCTTGGTGAGGTAAGCCACTGTTTTCACATTATGTATTCTTACTATTACTATTTGTGACCAAGAAAAGATTCCATTGAACTTCTGGATTAACCAAACTACGTACGTAGGTCGGCGCGGGCATCCAGATCCCGCCATCTTCATCTAGGGTATTGGATGAATGGGGGTTATTGGAAAAAGTCCGATCTGTTGCCACTCTGCCCCATGATTTCCATTTAAGGTCAAGAGGTGGACGGATCCTGTCAACACAGAATATACGACCGTCTTTGGAAGAGAGATACGGATATCCTTACTTCCAAGTCCACCGGGCCGGATACCATCGGATCTTAACCAACGAGGCGATTCGACTCGGTGTAGATCTCAAGTTACAGGCCAGCGTACTTGACATTGATTTCAAAAAACCCTCAGTTATGGTGAAAGGAGATCCAGACTATGAATTCACGGCCGACCTGATTATCGGCGCCGATGGCCTTCGCTCTAGATGCCGAGAATCTTTGCTTGGCCGTGCTGATCCGCCGAGGTTGACTGGTGATCTGGCCTACCGGTCTATGGTCAAGGTGTCGGATATGCAAAGCCCGCGTTTAAAAGATCTAGTCAAAAAGCCATGCACCAACTATTGGATGGGCCCGAATTTGCATGCAATGTGCTATTTCATCGAGAATGACCAAATTTGCAATATTGTTTTGATCATTCCAGACGACTTGCCTGAGGGTGTCAACGTCGCATCTGCCGATGTTGAAGAGATGCGAGAAAGTTTCCGTGGCTTCGATCCCACATTGGTAGAGCTTCTGGAACATGTTGATAACACGTTAAAGTGGCGTTTACAAGATAGCGTCAAGATGGAGAGATGGAGCCACCCAGACTACAAGTTTGTATTGCTTGGTGATGCATGCCATGCTACCCTTCCTTATCTGTAAGTGCTATTCGTGGGTTCTAGATTTCAGCTAGTCACCAATCCCTAACGCAATCCGCTAGTGCCCAAGGCGCCGCTCAGGCCATTGAAGACGGCGCTGTTATTGGCGCTCTTTTTTCAAAATTGCCTAGATCAAACTTTCGGCGATTGGTCCCAGATATTTTGAAAATTTATGAACACTTGCGTAAGGAAAGAACTGCCAAGGTCGTTCAGAAGAGTGCCGACTTCCGTGTTGTATTCCATATGGAAGATGGTCCCGGACAAGAGGAGCGGGACAGAATTCTGTTGCACGAGCAGCCTGGCAAAGATTTTCCATTCCTGTTTGCGGACCCAGAGCTTCAAGAGTTTTTGTTCGGGTACGATGTAATGAAAGAGGTGGACCATGCTTGGGGAAGGTATCAAGGCCCAACTGTGTCCTGTTCACTTTGAAAGCACCATAGTGAATCAATTTCATTTCCAGCTAAATTAAACTATCCCCTCCTTTTGTAGATTTCTAAATGATAGTTATTGTCTACATATATCTATGTACAGCGCGGAGACGGAGCCGTCCAAAACAACCCTGCCCTGGCACCGCACCCTGGTAGATAGTCCACAAGACTGTGTAGAAAGGTTCGAAAATGTTCGTAGTATATATCCTCGATTTGCCCCATATATGCTCATTCAATTATGCGCTCCTGTTCTCAACTTGAACGGTTGAATAATGGCGATACCTAGACGCAGTTCTTACTCGCAACCTTTTGCCAAAGTAAAGGAAACATAAAGTACCCGGTACGAGCACTGCAAGTGATAAAAGTGAGAGTGTCAGAAAAACACTTGATATCCCAACAGCCTCAATCCAGGGCGTGAGAGCAAAGATCAAGATAGTTGCTAGGAGGTTCCGAATAAAAGTTACACCGACGAGAGAATCGGCAACGATCTGATAAATGGCTTATATTAGTCTCCTTCACGAACAATAGGCAGTAATGTTCCCTGTCACTCACATTGGTATAAGCATCAGTGAGATATGTCAGCGCCGCACTGCTCACCGGGGCCATACCAAAGCCATATATTGCATAACCAACTGCAACGACAATCCACGGCGCTCCATTTCCAAGGGCATACCCAAATATCAATATACCAGCAGGCGCCAAAGGTGTAGCCCCAAGGACGGTCCACAGACGCATCTCTGGCTCGAAAATTCCGTTGTTCTTTTTTGCTTGCTTGAGGGCTAGCCAGTCACTAAATATTCCAAATATCAAGGTCCCAATAGTGTTGCCAATAAAAGGAGCTAGTGACATGAGACCGATTTGTGCTGCGTTGAAATTGTAGGGTGGTTCTGCCATAACGGATGAAACGACAGTAATCATTGCTTGCCATGCGGCAGTGATTAGTCCATACAGCACAGACACGTACAAGGCCGCTGGAAATTGTACTATCACAATGAGAGGTTGATATGCATGCCGCACATAATATTTAACGGATCCGGGAAAAGACACCCATAGTTTCAGACGCTCAAGATAGCGTTTTCGCGGAATGTCCGGGTCGATGTCGATTTCTGTCATATGTTGTGGGAACTTGGGATATTTCGTCTCATCCATCCTTGCCTCAGGCGCTTTGTCTTTTGATTCTGATTTCATCCCTTCTTCGAGATCCACACCATCAGCACATTTCTGTTTCTCTTTGTCCGTGTCAGCGGGTGTGGGTGTTGGCTTTATCTCAATTGAGGATCTTGTCAAAGCAACCCCTGTCATCGAGTCGACGAATTTAGTCTCTTCGTAGAAGTACAAAAAGAGAATAAAGCACGCCCCAAAGAGAATTGCCATCCACCACCAAACCCACCTCCAGCCCTGGGAATTAGAAATGAAGCCAGCCACCAAAGGAGCAAGCGAACATCCGACTATCATGACCCAGACATAGATCGAGTTCATCCTGCCCCTTTGATGAATAAAAAAGACATCCGCAATTGTCATCTGAACGATGGCTTCTGCAAGTGCGCCAAGCAAGCAGTTGAATGCGTTGACTAGGACAAGGTCCGCGACTGTCTCAAGCTTTGCAGACCAAATGGAAACGAAGAATTGCAGGAAAAGGCTAATAAGATAAACGACACGTCGACCAAATTTCAACGCAATAGGGATGAAGAGTAACGCTCCAACACAGAGTGTTGCTGAGCCGGCGGCGTAACTGTCTTGTAAAATTGCATAGCTAAAACCAAGTTGCCTGTGCATTGGGGCCCAGGTAGGGGTGGCAGCGTTGATTCTTTCAATCGAAAAACCATCGTTAGAACAGTGCAATGAGAATAGAGATGTAGGATGAATAAGACATACACTGCGAAAACAAGAAGAGAATATAGTAGAACAAGGCCATAATTCAAATATTTCTCCCAAAGCTTCCAGTTCTACTTCCTAGTCAGCAACTTGGGTTTTCATTAATTGGCGCTTAGAAGCATACTAGAGGGTCATTTGGATTTCTTGAAGGAGTCGGCTGGAGGATAATTACATCTCCAAATGCACCTCGCAGATCTAAACACAGCGTACACGAATCAAACATGTACATAATGGGGTTATGATGGAGAACCACTCACCTTCCAGTGGAACAGTACCAGGTGGCCGTTCCTGATCGTCGTTGCTCTCTGTTCTTGAAGGCATTGTTTTTCTCTCGAAAAGGCTGCTTTAATCAAGCACAACAGAAAAATAAGGGCTTTTGTATGCCGGAGCCATTCAACCAGACAACGCACAAGTGTTCAAGTATCGGACATCGCGATTCAACCCAGATATATTATTATCTCCTGTCCACGATAACCCCAGAGAGGCTTTGGCCTCTTCTACAAGCTCTCTTGGCTTCCACATCCATTGGTTAGAAAGGTCGGACATCCCGAAGAAACGAGTGGATATCAGCGGGGCTTCCGAACAGGATTTAAGACCTTATCGTCGTTGATGTATACCAGGCAGAATATCAATCTTTGCAAGAATTCTACTTAACAACAACGATTACTCCTGCAATGAGACTAGTTAGTGTCGTGGTGACGGAGGCAGAAGCAGGCTAGTACGGATTAGGCAATAATAGTGCTTTAGTTTCTTGGCTGTCGACCTCCAGCCAAGTTATGTAATTATTGTGGGAAGGGCCAGGCCTCGTAGCATCGTTCAGCGGCCGGCAGCTGAAAAAGTGGAGGTTGTTCTAGGGAACTCTTTAGAAATAAGATAATTTCGATGCAACCTCACGAATACATAGTAGTCAATATCTACCAGCCGTTTGTTCGCAATATGGCATGCTTAGGGTTTAGCGCCGGGTCGAGATGGAGACACCCGTGGACTCCAGAAAGCATAAGGAAGCCTTATACCTAGCCACCGCTCCAGCACCTGAGTATTGTACATAATTCAATTTGTGATTTAGGGGCTGAATTTCCTCCAAAAGATCGGCCCCTTAACCATGGAAACTTTAAAAGACGGAAAAAAGTAGCCGCAAGACTTCCAGCAGTGGTCCAGAAATGCTCACGACTCGCATTAAGACCCACAATTTGCTTAGCTTGGCGATTTCAAGCCCAGCTCCATTAGAATTAGAGCAATAGGGTATAGTTGTGTTAAGGCATGTCTTAGACATGGGGGCTCACAAGCAAGATGGCGAGGTCTGACATAAATAGACTGCTGTTTTCCTCTCGAAAAAATCAGCTAATCATTCCAAAGGTCAAAGGTATAATCAATCTCTCTTTAAACCCCTATACAACATTCAAGGGTTCCAAATGTCATCCAGCCTTTCGAGCCATCATGAAGCCGGCGATATTCTTCCCCTTCGCAGCAACCCCGGTATGTCGCAACAAGGCGAAGATTTTATTCGTCCAGGTTCTTCCCCATTAGATGAGAAGCAACTGTGGCAAATATTAGCTGCTTTTGTTGCGTTTTTGAACACATGGTGAGATTTTCCTTTCTCAGTCGCCAATAACTCGTTCATTGATAGCTCACTTACATCTGTAGGGGACTGCTTCTTGCTTTTGGAGTGTTTCAAACCTATTATCAAGAGGAATTGCTTCCGGGCGAATCTTCCTCAAGCTTAGCATGGATTTCTACAACGTCGGCTTTTATCCTGCTGGCGAGTGGACTCGTGACTGGGCCTTTATTTGACTGCGGCTATCTTCGTCCGTTGCTTGTGACTGGCAGTCTCTTGGAAGTATTTGGTCTTATGATGCTCAGTGTTAGCACTCAGTATTACCAAGTGCTTTTATCACAGGGAATTTGTGTTGGCTTGGGAGCAGGAATGATTTTTGTCCCGAGTCTGTCCGCTGTTGCTGTTTGTTTGGAGGACGCTCGCCGGGCAAAGATCATTGGCCTGGTATCATCAGCAACTGGAATTGGTAAGTTTTATCTCTTTTCATTTGAAAATCTAGAGTGAGGGCACAGCCTCACTGACTTTGGCAATTACCCTATACAGGGGGCATTATATATCCGATCATATTCCGACAGCTAGTGACTACAGCTGGCTTTCCCTGGGCAATTCGAACCATCGCCTTCTTAATTGTTGCCACTTTTGTCTTCTCTAGTCCAGTCCTGGGGGTGTATAGGTCGAGTAGAAGCCCTATGGTACGAGCCTGGATATACATTTCTGCCTTTACAGACAAGGCCTTTGTCTCTATTTTATGTGGCGCTGTTTTTAGTGCAACGGTTTTTTATCTTCCAATGCTGTACTTGCCCCTCTTTGGCACGACTACTGGCGGGATCCGCAACGCCAACCTCGCTTTCTATTTGGTTTCAATTGCCAACGGTGCCTCCGTATTTGGCCGACTTCTATGCGGTCTTCTCGCGACTGCCATTGGTCCAATTGAGACGTGTGGGTTGGCAGTAGCCAGCAGTGCTATCGTGCTTTTCTGCTGGCTCGCTGTCGTGTCACCTGTGGGCTTGATAATCTGGTCTATCGCCTGGGGGTTCATTTCAAATGCCATTGTAGCCATGCCTGGTGCGATCGTGCCTTGCTTAGCTCCATCGGTTAACATGATAGGTACTCGCACTGGAATGCTTTGGACCGCAGTAGCAATCGGCATGCTGATTGGGAGCCCAATCGCAGGGGCGCTGATTGAATACGGTGATGGAAATATCAAGTGGTGGCGTGTCCAATTGTTTGCAGGCCTTTGCATGGCAATTTCGAGTTTTTTCTTCGTTTACCCAACGGTCTATGTACGAAGGAAGAAATCGGGGCTGTGACTGCTGGTCGACGTCTTTTTGTATGATAGACAGAGCTCTTTTGTTTTCTTCTTTTCTTTCTTCTCTTTTGACTCATGTCCAGACTGGGCTGCTAGGAAAGGACTATCTGCCATATAGCAAAAGACACAGAAAAAACTCAGAAAATCACATAGGAAACACTTCTAGCAAGGGCCTTTCTGTAAAATGGGCATGTAGAAGGAAAACTTGCAAGGAAAGTGAAAATGTTGAAGAGAAGTCCTAGCCATGATAGATAGCACAATCTCCTCGGTAAACCATGGCCTTCTTGATGAGTGCCGCTCTAGTCCAAGTAATCCGGCCTGGCTCGTGGAATCTGTCGAGCTCATTTGTAATATTAACAATCCTCTCCTGTGCATCCCAGTCCACAGACTCCATCGTCATCATGAGAGCAGTCTGCAAGATCGGGAGTCCAAGAGGCATACACTGACGACCATGTTCTATCAGCATCCACACCCGCTTGCATAGGTGGAAAATATCGAATTCGAGCACGATCCGGTGAAGTACATCCGTCACGGACCAAATAATCCGGAGCACTACAATGCTATACATTGCATGATAGCATAGAACCACTCCAACCATAGTGTCATCCACCTCATACATCTCGGTGACTAGGTCCGACAAGCAAGTGGATGGGATAGTCCGACAGACCCGGCGAGTCTCAATTAGCGTGTCAAGATCAAGGCCAATGTCGTACATCGCAGTCTGTACTCTCTGTGCTGTGTCTATGAGTGAAGATAGATTGATAACCAAGTCTCCGTCATAGAGGGTTGATTTCTTCTCATGAAGTAGTGTAGGCCAAAGCGTCATCTGCCGCAAGATTTGGTAGAATATAGTTTGAATATCTGTTCGACCCTCAATGTTGTCAAGAGCAGCTGCCCATTCATTGGAGGCAAGGAAGCAGACTTTCCCCTGAACAAGAGCTTGATGAATCTAGGTTTGATTAGCTGAAATCTGCAAAAGACGAGAAAGAAGTGAGTGCATACAATACAGGCATGACTATCAATTATGACGGAAGCATCGGATTTATCCTTAGGTTTGGGTGGGCCTTTCTCCTGAACTAGCGCAGCTAACCCCGACGCATGAACGAGCTCGCCATGTCTCTGCCAGTCCTGCAAAGACGACTGATGTATAGGTGCAAAAATCTCCCCAAACACCGCCTATCCTCCATTAGTCTCATCGAGGGCAAGCCTAGTTGTCATAGAGTCGAAAACATACCTCAATTCGTTGGAAGAGGAGTACTGCGCATAATGTGTTAGACGATAAACGTTCTTTAGGGTCTTCAATGGTACGTCACAAGTTGCATAAGGCCTGAGCGTATAAGTGGGCATTAATTTGCGAGCGTCGGTTCCCTCGAACCACTGCTTCGTGCGAAGCGAGAAGGCACGAGGTTACTCCGGCCAGCGCTGCACTCGAGCTTAATCGCTGCGGAACACACCACATGAACGTTCCCAATGTTTTCAGACTGCATGATGAGTTCTCCATAGACAGGGAATCAATCAATGTGTAAGAAAGTCGTTCCGATACAGATAACGGCATTTGGTGATTTAGCCAAATATCACACGGTGACGAGCTGTTGGCGGATAAAAACACATCTGTATGTGCATTTTGATTCTCGTACAGGAGCGTGATGGCTTTCGGAGGTAGTGGTTTCCCCAGTCGTTGCAGGGTCACCTGTTGGCCCTCGTCTATAACCTTGAGAGACGGGCGTGGAGGGCACAGACGATGACTGCGCTTGCAAGGTCCACATACGGGCCAGGCTAAATCACACTAGGCACACTTCCTTCAGTACAGTCCAGATCCGGATTAGTGTAGGTGTCATACTTTTACTTTCCTGTCCTTGCATGTGCCACAGCGATTGCTTTTGATGGCGCCGACCATCTTCGTTGTTTTGTCAAGTGGCTGATTCGATTCTCTGTGCGAAGGAGCTTTTGCCAACGTTTAACACTGGGATGTTGGGGTCTTTGGGGAGAGTAGATTGTCTTATAGCCTGTACCAATCTTTGTGCGGCTGAAGGCATGTTTGGTCCTCAGCCTAGATGATTATATAATGTGAGATCATCCATAGGAGGCCTTACGATACTAAGCTTTCGCAAAATAGGGCGTTTAGGGCAATGATCTACAAGGGTCAGAACCCCTGACAAACGGTGAGATTAGATCCTTAATATTTGCCTGTCTATGCCTGTAGTATTCGCAAAATACACTAGAATAGACTAGTCATCTATCCTATTGCTTGCAGGTTGGAATCACTTAAACAGCAGCACACTGCAACAATAATGGTCTGAAGCAGACACCCATTAAACAGACATAATGGCCACTAATATCGACAAAATCAACGCCCAGAACGACGATCGCGTCCGCCGCTGCACTGCACAGTCTAATGGAAAGACGTACAGTAAGGAAGCCTAGCATTCTGATGTTTAAGTCCATAGAAAACAGGATTCATACTAATATCCGCTTCAACAACACAGGCTATTTAGAGGGAATACCTGCTGGCAGCCCAGTTAAAGGAACTATATTCTTAGTAAGTTGACATTTCAAGGCAAAACTGCACTCATTTGGAAAACTGCAGACTTCTTGTGGAAAGTTTCATGGCTTCCCGGCTCTGGCTGTGGGATGGCGATACCAGATTCCAATCCTACTTGAATTGAAATTCCGTGTAATTGCAATAGAGTGCCTTGGATACGGAGGAACTGCCGGTCTTTGATATAGGATCTCCTCTGGTTGTGTTTCAAAATACTGACATACTCACTAGGATGCCCCGAATACGGTTGAATCCTACAGCTATCGATCTCTAACCGAAGATGCCAAGGAACTGGCTGCTCAGCTCAAGGTAGAGAGGGTTATTGCCTGTGGACATGACTGGTAAGAATGGAGAACAAACGTGAAGAAAAGGGCTTGTGATTAAGTACCTGTAATAATACAGGGGAGCCAATATTGCCTACCGCCTTGCCCTCTGGCATCCTTCGCTTGTTTCGCTTGTAATCGCAATTCGCGTTCCCTACTTCCCTTCACAGGGAAAGTACACCCCTCTGGAAGAACTCTCAAAAACGGTCCTACCAAATTTTACATATCAACTGCAGTTCAAGAGCGGGGAATTGGAGAGATGGTTTTGGTCAAGGGATGACATTCGGTCATTTCTTGTTGCTATGTATGGTGGTCGCGACAACCAAGGAAGTCTGGCGTGGGACGCATATTTTGGGTTGATGATAGATAAAGTGGCAGGATTGAAGCCATCAGAGTTATTAACAGATGAAGTTTGTTGATCAACTTCCATCGAGAGAATAAACTGATTATATTCTAGGAAATGGATTTTTATGTGGACAAATTTCAACGCCACGGTATTAGAACGCCTTGTATATACTTTCCCACTTCTTCTCTTCCTGACGATTGAGAAAACTAACAATTAACTTGTCAGTAAACTACTACCGCACCCGCGAGATCAATCACTATGACGAAGTGACTAGCCTCACTGGCCCTGCAATCAATGTTCCTGTGCTGTTCATCCCGGCTCTACAAGACTAAGCGCTACCGCTCCGGCTAACCAACGGAATGGAGCGTTTCATACCGCAATTGACATTGAAGGAGGTTGACGCATCACACTGGACTCTGTGGGAGGATCCCGGAAAAGTCAATGGGATTTTGACGGAGTGGTTAGATTATCTTTTTCCTATGGAGGCATAGATATGAACACTAAGATGTTGGGCTTTACCAACATCCAAGAGAGTTCAATATACATGTGTTGATGTTTCAATATTTTAACACTTCTGTCTTCTTGATTGATTCTACAGATTAATTATCATTGTTATTGGTGAATCTATATTCAAATACCTCCCTACCAGGGACCACGTGAATGCGCCATGGCCAGTCACGGGAACGGCCCAGCCCCAGCCCGGATTAACTACGGTGGCGGAATCCTTGATCATTCAGCCTTTGACCCGCATTGCTGGGCTTCGCTTTCCTGTCGCATTATTCCCCCGACTGGTCTGGATCATTCTTGTGATTCGAGCTTGGTCGACTTTTTGTCACCATCGCCCTCGTCACCTTCCCTGCGCCCGAAGCCTTTTCTCCCTGCAAATCCCTCGCATCCCTCGGCTTCGGACCCGCCCTCTTTGTACGCGCCACACCCCGGTCACCCCAGCATGGAAGCTTGAATTCACGAGGTCGCGTGCTTTCAATACTCGCTGGTGGGACCGGCTCTAGCATATATGCGCTTTACGTGGTCGGCGACGTGAGCCGTTGATAAGTGATCGATCATGGCGGAAGACCTTCTGGCCCCCCGCCAGATTTGGGCGCAGCCGACTACAACATCGACCAAGACGTATGAGTCGGGCTGCACCCCGTTTCTCCTTCCTAGCAACGGTATTATACTACCTCTCCTCATGCCAGGAGCTGACTTGCGACGGCTCCGAACCTCCCCCTGTCCCCTTTTAGGACTTTCAAATTGCTCATACTCAAACAATTCCCAGGGTACATCCATGTGAACCGGTCGTATGTCATTACTATCACTGAAAATGCTGTATTTGAGCCGATCTGCACCAGCCAGGCTACCGACATGGTCCATGTTTCTGCCGTGCTCGACACGCGTGACCCGTTCTATTCCTCGATTACTCCGCAACTATATGCCATCGCTTGTGCAACCGTCGTCAGCTATCTCCTCGTCATAATCCTTCTTATTACTCCACGTACGTTTTACGTCGGCGGCCCCGGCGGTGGCGCGAATTTCCTCGGGCGACATGGCATGATCAGTGGTTCGTACAGCGGCAACTCCTCGGTGGTGGGAGTCGGTGGTCGGCCATGGTTGCAGAAAGTGGCTGCTCTCCTTGTCGCTGTCTCACTCACCATTGCAACAGCAGACTCTTTTCGAGTGGCCGAGCGACAATATGACTATGGCTACTCGGATGCTGAAGCTCTATCGGAAGAGGTGATTGATGGTATAGAGATTCGCATCGTGCACGTCATCTCCAGTACCTTCCTGTGGCTGGCCCAGGTACAGACCTTGATTCGATTGTTTCCACGACATAAAGAAAAAGTCATGATCAAATGGGCGGGCTTCGCTTTGATCGTGCTGGACACGACTTTCAGCATTTTGGAAAACTTCTTTTTTAAAAACACCTCAACACACCCGAGGTTGTACGATGACGCGATCCCGGCTCTCAGTTACCTTTTCGAACTTGCGCTGAACCTGCTCTATGCGGCGTGGGTGATCTTTTACTCTATATCAAAGCATCGCTACGCTTTTTTCCATCCCAAGATGCGGAATATCTGCCTGGTGGCGCTATTATCCCTGTCCGCAATCTTGATTCCCGTCGTCTTCTTTGTCTTAGATATTGCAAGGCCTGAAATCGCTGGCTGGGGTACCTACATTAGATGGGTCGGATCAGCTGCCGCAAGCGTTGTGGTGTGGGAATGGGTAGAGCGGATCGAAGCCCTCGAACGTGATGAGACGAAAGATGGAATTCTCGGAAGGGAGATCTTCGACGGTGACGAGATGCTCGAGGTAACCCCGTCTGAGGAGGTGGATTGGCCCCGCTACACGACACATGGGTATGACAAAGGCGGCGGTAACGGTGCCTCCTCGGGATGGGGTGGCATGATGGGCTTGGCTCATCGTCCTCTCCGAACTCGTGTGGGTATTCCCCGTGGGCCCCGGAATTGGGGCTCTGGAGGCCAGGCCCACGTCCAAAACGTCACATCAGCACCAAGAGGCCAAAATAATCACCGCACTACACCACCTCCGGCCACTGTCACACCGGTCAGTCGCGCCGATACCACTAGTGCCGCAAGCACCGTGTACAATGTCCGCTATCACCCGGTTTCTAGCCCTACGCCTCCCGTTGCCATGCCACACATGGAGGAAGAGGAGGAATTGGAAGAAGTCAAAGAGCTGGATATTGAGAGACCGCCAGCAGATACCGCGCATCCCCGACTCTCTGCTCAAGAAACCACGCGATGGCGGTCTCTACTGAACCCATTCAAACGAAGACGAGCTTCTCTCCCGAGAGAGGTCGCCTCTGCGCAGGCCGGGGACGAGCAAACTCCAGATGCCCGAGACACCGATTCGTTCGGGGATGAACACGAACCGTACGGCTCCCGGTCTAGGGCGGAGCATTTCTTCTCGCTCGGTCGCACCGGACGACCAGGCTCTGGTCCGCAGGCTGCCGAAGCCCCATTACCAGTTACTGTCATCCCGGCCCGACGACGGAATCAGCAAACGTGGTCGCCTCAGAACGTGCTTCTGGACCCGTCACCGTCTCGCGAACCGCGAAACAGTCGTTCCAATAATCGCTCTGATTTACCAGTGAGAGTGATCCCCTCCCAACCACAAGCGTCCGCGTCCTGGACCGATGCAGACGTGCATAGAGCCGATAGGAATTACGTTCTACGCTATGACCCCGAAACGGCCGCCCTAGTTGACGAGAATGTGGCTCATCACTCTGCCGATGCTCGTGCCGTAGCGGACGACCAGAGCAGCTGGACGGAGACCACTGCTTCGGATGCGATAACTGAGGGGCCATCTTCGCCGCATGGGTCGCAGGCAGAAGCGAACCCTCGTCCTTCGTAGGTGAAACTGCACTGCAGGCCAGTGCATACTCTGACCGACATTTCCGTGGTGTTCTGGACCGTCATCTATGGATTGAGCGAGGAGTTCCGGAAAATATTGGGTTATTATTGTAATTATCTGGACTGGACATTCATCTCTGATCTATTTATAATTTAATTAATAGTTCTGGATATATGTAATTCAAATGCCCCGGATTCTATGGAACACAGTTAGGGCACGGCGACGGAGTGGATTACCAAGCCTTATGAAATAACTAACTGCCTTGCTCGGGAACTTGAGATTCCGTCCATGCGCTGATCTTGCGACCCTCCGCGTGTCCATCCATCCCATCCATCCACCCTTCCATCCTATGCTGCGCCACCTGTCCCCGGCGTCGCACCATGGCGGCTGTCAACCAGAACATGTTTGATGCCAGTATCGCGATGGACCGGCCGGGCGGTTCGTCGCTGATGGTGCTGCCGCTAAACCTGATCGCCCAGATCGTCTCGAATGTGAGAGTAGCGCGAACACGAGACCCAAGAAACTTACTGACCGCAGAACTTTTGTTTGTAGGTCGAGGATACCGGCGACCTCGCGCGACTATGTCGAACATGTCGGGTTCTCAATTACATGGCTCTTCCGCAGCTCTACCGGAGCCTGACGCTGACCTCCTACGATCGAATACGTTATCGAGGCGAACAGCCAGAGGGCATCGGCAGCGGCAGCCCGTTCACGATGGGTCTCAATGCGGTGATTACTCGGCCCTATGCGACGCTGGTGCGCTCAATGACCCTGCGCGGGGACTGGAAGGAACATGAGCTGGAGGAACACGCCCGCGTGGGCCGGGTACCGGACTCGTCGATGATGCTGAACATTGCCGTGCGAGCGGCGGTAGACCGGATGACCGGCTTGGAGAGCTTTAGCTGGGAACTCAACACTAAAATGCTTGATACAGTCTACAACGGGCTCACCCAGCTGCCACGGCTGACCTCGCTGACCGTGCGATTCCCGTCCAGTCGACACCCGCAACCTACGTTCGTGCTGCCGCCGATGCCGCACCTGCGATGCTTGAAAATCACCGACATCGACCCCCTCTGCTATCCCGATGACATCGCCACCCTCCTTTGGAAGAGCAAAAAACTCCGCGATCTGAGGTTGCATTGGTCGCCGCGCATGCGCATCGCACAGGAGCCAAGTGTCTCGCTGCACGATTACTTCCGAAAATCTATTGCCGCCAAACAGCCGCTTGCAGTTAAGAAGATGTCGTTCTCGAATTTGTACGCATTTCACACGGAGGAATTTAATATCGCGTTCGATCCGACCACCGTCGAAGACGTTACCTTCCTCAGTGGTGCGGACAGTTCCAACCTGGTCAACACTTTTGTGGACAGCAGCTGGCCAACCGTCGTACCACATCGAAAACTCAAGATCAAAAGCATTCGCATGGATGCGATCTCAAAACGGAATTCGGAGTTCCTCGGGAATTTCTCTGGTCTGGAAAAGCTATACTTTGTAAACATGACCTCCGATTCCAGCGATTACCTCAATTCCCCTCGGCCCGGGATGGGCCCAGCCTCATCTGCTCTGACACCACCGGTATCAGAGAACCCCGGGGCGGCCAATGGGACGGCAGGCAACTCTCCAACTGCCATGGCTTCCCCCGCAAGCCAGACGAACTTGCAGCTGAATATCAGGGATAGTTACATTGCCAACATCACAACAAATCATGGTGCGTCATTGCGCCATCTCCTTCTCTCTTCTCGGTGGCCTCTTTCCACAAAGATGATCGCCCGTCTGGTCCACAGCTGCCCGAATTTAGAACAACTAGGGCTTGCCACAGAGTTCTCCAGTATGGAGTCATTGGGCTTACTAGTCCCCTTTCTCCGCAAATTGGTCGCGTTGCGACTCTTGATTCCCGCGGGCTCTGCGGCGCCCCAGTCTGGCGCGTCAAATACCACGATGCTCCGAACATATAATACTCAACGTATCCAAGAAACCTTTCCCAGTCATCTCAGCAAGGTGGCAATGGAATTAATGAACAATGCCAAGAGCATGGCGGATGTTGTTGATATTGATGACCGGATACTTATGGAGATGATGAGTTACGACATGGCCAATGAGCAGGTTTTTGAGAACTTAAAGATCGTCGGTTTGGGCTGGAAGGCCTTTGAACTGCGAGAATTCTACAAGACGCCCCCGCCTCCTCCGCCGGAGAACGAACCTGACTCCAACGCTGCTGGTGATCAGTCGGCAGAGGCGACAAATGGAAGCCCCAGCCCCGGGAATGATCCCAAGAGCGCCGGCCCTGAACAGCACACTGCTCCTCAACCTCAAGACACCACCTCCGGAAATACCAATACGAACCCCATCGCACCTAAATCTCCTGCTGCCGTTTCTTCTTCCCAGCCCACTTCATACTCCAACCACCCCCCATCAACATTGGGAAAACGCCCCCGAGACGACGATGAAAGCAATGAAAGCAATGAAAATAGCATGGCGCAGCGATCTAACTCTGAAACGGATGAACCGCGCCAGCCACGCTTCCAAATCCATGGCTGTCTCTCTCACATCATTACGACTGACGGATACATTCGCCGTCGCCGGCTGCGTCGGGTCGGATGGGATGTTTTGAAGCATTGGGAGATTTGGGGGTTGGATTCGCAGGAGATTTGAAATGAGGTCACTCTACCTTGTACTCTATAGATTACGGTCTTTTATCTTCATACGGTGCAGAGGCCTGTCGTGCCCTCTGCATGAGCTCATGGCTATGAGTAGATTCATAAACCACGGTCACTATATGTGGTTGATGTTCCCGGGCTATCTAAACAAATTTGATTTGAGACGTCTGGCACGTACACTACATCAAGCCATTTCGCTTTATATTGCACGTATATAAGTATTCTATATACTTTTAGAGCACTCCAGGTGTGTAGTCAATGATCTGAGCCTTTTCAATAATCCCATCTAGGCTGCGGACAAATGCCAGATGCACAGGATCCTTCTCAATGTAGAAATCTCGATCTGCAGCACTCGCGAACTCCACGACAAATGCATGGCTAATCCCATTCTTTCCCATAAGCACTAATTAGTAAAGCTGTCTGGGAATTCTCATGCTATACGAAATAACATCGACTCACCTGGGCCCCTTCAATCGAGTTATCCCGGCCACCCGACGATGACTTAATATATGGCTTCTGGGACGAAGGGTGGATGCAATTGTCTTTTAAGCCAAGCATGCGTCGGCAGACCTTGACAAATATAGATTAGTACGATGGCTTCAGAAGTATTTCTCGGAAGTAAGCGGGAGATGTTGCTTCAAAGATCACACCACATACATCGTTCACAACTTCAGCACTGACGCTTTCCTTGAATTGGAAAAGAACAATATGAGTAATTGACATCTTGTTCAGCTACCTTGGATGGTTTGGTAACGGACTTGAATCGATATGAAAGAGATTAAAGAATTTCTATTTCTAAGCGCCGCGGGGTAGGTCCTAGCCACTGAACACGTGATGATCTATATAGTGATCATAAGCTTTGTCGAAAGTAAGTGATAGAATAGAAGATAGGATAGGAAAATACATAATTTAACCCGCAAAGCAGGAAAAACGGGTTGTAAGTTAGATACTGTGATACACAGGAAAAATACCATGGAAAACAAATCAATCATGGATGATGCAAATTTCTTCGTTGAATGAGAACACGCTATGTACAATGAGATAAACTCTCCCTCTAATTCGTATATGCACTAATTATCAGTAATATTATATCCATTCATGGTACCACTCAATGTTCCTTTTGCGCTTTAGTTTTGTAGCAAAGGATTGCGTTTGGGAATATTCAGAGCTCTTGAGCTCAGAACAACGCGGCGATGGCCACGGCGGCGGCAGCTCCCAGCGGAGCGGCCGTGATCAAAGGCTTCGCAGCAGCGAAAGCGGCGCCGGGGGTCTGCGTGGCTTGCGGTTCAGTGAAAGACTTGGCGCCCGCAGTGATATACATAGCGAGATAGGTAATTGAGTCTGTCGGGATAGACGACGTGGAAACGGCAGTGGAAGTCGAGTAAGACAAGCCCTCAATTGTACCAGTGGCTTTGTAGTTGGCCGAGCAGGACGCGGACAGCGAGCTGGAAGTGAAGGTGCAGTCGATTAGCCGAGTGGCGGTAACAGCGTTGCCATCGCCGCTGCTCCAACCGGTATAGACGCCGGTCACGCTGTAGGTTCCAGGTCCCTCAATCAGAGTCCAGGGCGTATCAATTTGGCAATCTGTTTTCGGGGCGTCGTCCAAACAATTGATATGGTATGTCGTATACAGCGCATTTATTCCAGCCACGCTGGCAGCCGTGCTAGCATATCCCATGATGGTAAGATCCGTAGCCCACTCGGCCGCAAATTCGGGGACAATCGTGACACCGTCTGCCGCAACCAGCGCACCGAGCACTGTGGCAAGGAAGGCAGCGAAGAGCATTGTGAATTTCTGGCTGTTGTGGTGCTGGACGACAGATGAAAATATTGCGGCGTAAAGAACACAAACCTGCAACGATAATAATGGAGGGCAAAGGAAAAGATATTTTTGAAAAGACTCCCATCGAAAGGAGACCTGAGTATTTTAAGCCACGGCATGTCCGAGCTCGGTTCTCCCACTTATTTAGTCAAAGCCTCAATTCCTGACTAGCCAGGGCAGAAAAGCCACCAACGACAATAGTCCGTTTGTTGATTGGGTCGTGCTTGGTGTGAGCAGCCACTTTGAATACCCATGAATCTTGGTACGCCCCTTTAGTTAGTACAGCAGGCTTAGTTGGGTCGGATAAAATAGCTAACGCCACCATCTGACTCGCAAGGTTTTATCATGCTGAGGCTCCAGCCCAGGCGCTTCGTTGTCTTAGGGACTAGTTTATCTCTAGCACCAGCCGAAAGTCTTGGCAATATCCGTTATTGCCGAACAAGCGGAGCGGCAAATCCGTTTGAAATCGTCGAAAGGCTTCGTTTTATTCCAAGGCCAGCAATGATCATAAACAGTTCATCGCTAAATTGCGAATACATTATCCGTCGGGTAGAAGTACTTTGCACATACAATAAATCCGGAGCTTAAAAAATGCCATGGTCCACAAGATCTAAGTAGCGGGCCGAAGATTCCAGTTTCCAAAAAAAAAAAAAAGTCAGTCATCGGGTGTGGCTGCTAGTGCCAATCAGATTTGCCCTAAATACATTTCTCACGAATCATGGTCAAATGTATGCTTCAATCCATGAAATAAGGGCTTTACTAAGACGCTCTATTGCTGATCTTTTCGCGAACTCTCATCTTCCTCACGTGGTATTGATCAAGCCATGAATCAGTAGTAGGAATTGTCTAATTCACATACTTCTTAGCTATCAAAGTCCAGGCCAATCGAGGGGTGCTCATCAATGATGTAACGTGATGGCTACTATCCTTCTACAGTCAGTAGACTAGAAGTCGACGAAGTTAGACAAATTCAGCAGTATCAAGTTGGGGATGAGGCATAATCCAACCACAGACACTTTTCACATTGTCCATCCTCTACACTGGGTGCGTTGCCTCAGTCAAACTGTCTATCCTGATACTCTATCGGCGACTCTTCCTTGTCAAACAAATGAACATAGCAACTGCTATTGTGAGCAGTCTAGCCATTCTGTGGGCTTTTGGTGGTATCCTTGTGGGCTCCATCACTTATATCCCTACCGAAACCGAAAAGCTCTGATATCCTGAGATACCTGGTGGCTATATGGATATTGGAAAGTTCGATTATGGGTTGCAGATCCCTAACATTGTGACGGACAGCCTCATCCTCATTATGCCGATGCCTACATCTGGAACTTGACCATATCCCGCGCGCAGAAAGTTTGTCTTTCCGAAATTTTCGTGCTCAGATTCCTGTATAGTTCTCTTATCTCCTTTTGAAATCATAGTAAAGCTAATCAGGTCCAGGACGTTGATCTCCGATGTTGTTTGTCTGATTTCCCTTATGATCTGTCCCGATCAGGAGAAGACCTCACCTGAAAATCTTCCCTTCCATTCTGCGAGTTAGGAATTTATACTGACTATAACACAGATAATTAAGTCAATCCCAGCATATGGACATGTATTGAGCTAGCCGCTGGGATCGTGGCGGCCCGTCTCTCGAATATGCGACCGCTATTCAAAAATTGCCAGACCGCAGCAATACAACCGGAAACAACAGCTAGAAAGACATAGCGGGCGAGAAATGAAGATCGCCTTGACGGACTCCCAGTCCCCCACGATACGGGCACGGACCAGAAACTCAGTCTCGGGCAGTCTGTGTAGATGCTGCCGTGTGTGCAACTATACAAAATGCCCGCCGACGATGACGACTTCATTGACTGCGTTGCGCAATTTAATCATGTTAAGCTACAAATCTTCATGTCAAACAGTATATACCATGTCGTTATTTTGTCTTATCGTAGATCCCCTCCCATCCTTCATCCCATGCCAAGTGTAGATCAGAACCCCCCACCTGACAGCGGACCATGCGCAATGACGCCCTCCTGAGAATCCCCGCCACTTAAAACACTCGCTTCCTCAACTCTCTTTCGGAGCTATCAACAAATCGCTCAGCACAATAACAATGCCCCGGCTCGATGAGAGCACCATAGCCTTACTCCGCGTCGGCCAAGGTGCCCAGCGCCATGTCAAGCGCGCCTGGGATGGCTTTATTAATTTCGCTGCTCGGGACAACGTCCTCGAGGTAGCTCTTGGTCTCATGTTCGAGTTCCTCTCAACCAAAACCCCTGTTTGGCTCATATCTAATTTTTTTTTTTAAAAAAAAAACAATAGTATTGCGCAGGCTTTCACCAAGGTGGTCACATCCTTTGTGTCAGACATGGTGTTGCCGATCGTGTCCATGCTCCCCTTCTTGAACAAGAACATGGATCAGAAATTCTCTGTGCTCTACAAAGGTCCGAACTATACCGAACCCGAGGGATATAATACCGTCAAGCAGGCGAGAGATGATGGAGCGTTGGTTCTGGCATACGGGTTTGTTTCGTTTTCCCCCTTAATTCTAGGCCAGAAGTAGATAACGAGCAATTTCGAACAGGGTGTTTATCGAAAACATTGTCAATTTTCTCGGCGTCAGTCTGACTCTGTATGCCGTTGCACAGCTGTACATGTACATCTCGCATCAGCGGATTATCAAGCCGACCAGGCGGTGCAGGTATTGCAAGAAGTTCATCGGCGTGAAGGTAAGTACTTACTCATGTCGAGTTTCCGCGAGTGCAAATTAGGTTGACGAGCTAGGTTCTACGCTGCATCTACTGTTCCAGTTGGCAGGATGGAAGGGAGGATTTGCCCGGCCAACAGGCACCTCTTGATGACGAGGATGATGAAGACTCATGACATGCATGGTATTTTTGAAGTTAGATAGGCCAGAGATACGGAGTTCAACACTTGACAATTGATGACATCGCTGTGCTAGAAATGCAGAATTGACTGCGCTGTATGTTTGCTGGGGGTATCGTAGACTTAAAAGGACTATTTGGGGGGTGGTGGGTACGTCATGGGCCCGGGAGCTGTGTACGGCGACATCAATGTAGCTCCCATCTCCCTGGCTGCACGACTGCGGTGTTCCTCGCGCTTCTGGAATTCCTTCTCGTCTTGAATCAGTGTGCAGCAGGTACAGCAAGTTGCGCGAAGACAATCTGACGCAATGTTTCCATGGATTCCATATGCCTTTCTGGTTCGAGTGTGTTGGATTGTAGCCATCAGCCCTGTAGAATGCAAAATTATTCAGCAAGCACGTTCTCTTTCCTTCCTGTCTATTTACTCACATTGGCATCCACACAGTAGAGCCATGCCAGTGCACGAGCCGTTGCACGATTCATAGCCCAGCATATTCGTCGGGTCTTCTTTGCGAGATTTCTTTGACAGACGGTGTTGCGTTTTGCCGTATATGATACATGGACAGACCAGGCCCAGGCAGCATGTTCCGATATTCGAGCAATCACACAATCCATGGCTCCAGCTGCCTCCCAGTACCTCCTGGTTGGGATGTAATATCTGTCCAGGCTGGTGAAAGGAGCCCAGATCTTCAATCGGTGGTGCGTGCAATGTTCCTGCAGCGGCCGGTGGAGGGAAGTAGGGCAGCTTGGGAGACTGCAGTGGATTGGCATCTGGCGCAATAGTCACATAGTCTGCTCTTGAGACTTGATCCTCAGCATCTGGGTTCGTCTTCACGGGTAAAGGCCCTGGCGAGCTGGGTGGTTGACTGTATGTATGGTGATATGGCATCTGGGTATGGGGCTGCGCTTGAACAGGTGTCTCGGCATAGGCATAGGGAGCATAGTGCGCCGGATGCTGTTCATGTGGTGGTTGGTTGGAGTATGCTGGGATGACCCCCTCCTGCTGCATCTGGTGTACTTTCTCACTCGATCCATATGACACTGGCTGTTCCCGCTGCTGCACGGCAGGTTCCGAGACTGGATTCGGGTGCGCCGACATGGACGGTGGTGATCTCAAGTCCCGTTCCTGCGATGAGGCGTGCATTTCCAGCGGAGTCTCAGCGAATGAGTACCGTCTGCTGTCACCCACCTGGGTGTTCAGCTGCAACTGGCGATTCATATCGAGAACAGCGGTGCTGAATCTTTTGGCTTCGTTGGAGCTGTCGTCACAGTGTATTGGCAGCTCGGTTCAGCTTGTGTTGAGGTAGGGTGTAGAAAAAGAGAAGAGATCGGAGGCCCGGAGCTCTACTGTCAGGCACCATTTCTCAGGAACGTTCTCCTGGTCGATCCACGTGTGCTGCGCAGCGCAAATTGGTCAGTCGTTCCCCGATGCACGGACTGACATGCGACAGCAGTCACCAACAGGAACCGAAGTTTGAGTGACAGGTTTCGTGAAAAGATCCTGGGGGGAAGTCGGCCGTGATAACTAACATACCGGCATGGAAGAGAGGGGCCTGTGATGGGGGCCAGCGAGCTCGAGGTTCGTCTAGGCCAGTCATCCTTGTCCGTGTTGCAACCCTAATGCAGACTGCTTCACATCACGGGCGATGCTTATTGGGCTGTGGCCCGCTCCCGTTGGCCGTTGACGCGCGTTTAGTCACACTTGGTCAATTGTCGCTGTCCACTGCCAGGTTCTTTTGTTGGGATTATGGGTTGCATCTTCAGGCGTTAAATATGTAAAAACTGCAAAAAAGAAGATTGACAAGAGTGGGATTCGAACCCACGCCCCTTTCGAGACACGGAGATTGATGATAACCAATCGGATTCGGGTGGACCTGAACCGTGCGCCATAGACCAACTCGGCCATCTTGCCTTGCGTGGATGATTGATTGGTGGTTTTGCTATATAGGCAGCAGCTTTGGGAATTTTCAAGGTGTGGCTTCGTCGTCTTGCGCCTCGACTGGATTGCAATCCCTGTTCAGCCCTGCCTCGTTGGCACCATATGCGGTGCCGACTTCGTTGGTGGGTCTTACCTTTCCTGGCCGGGCGACTGGGGGGTGGGGAGTACTATTCGCTCCTTTAGAGTTAGCTGCGCACGAGTAGTAACCGCTTGGGCAAAATCAGCTGCCTATGTCAGCGCTTTATCAGCCCCAGCTCATGCCTCGAATTGTTCTTGGAAACGTCTCCCATTCCCCTCCTTCTACTATCTGAATACCTAACTCCTTGCATTCCAAAGGAAACCTAATTCGCAATTCTCATTACTGCCCGACTCTGGTTACCAAGTGTCATCGATGATGGCTGAAATACTAGGAATCGCAGCCAGCGCTGTCAGTTTTTTCACATTGTTAGAGCAAGTTATCCAGAGCATAGACCGGCTGAAAGCTCTACATGTATTTATCAAAACTGCTCCCACAGAATTTCAAGGACTTATTGATGAGATTGAGATGGTACAGGTTGTTTTGACAAGACTGAGGCCGGAAATGCTGGAATCTCTCAATCTTCCGTCCACGGAGCGGCGTTTGCGGGTCTTTCAAGAGGACTTGGAATCAATAGCATCCATGATGCATAAATATAAAGATCAAACAGCGAACCGAAAGTTGAGAAACATAAAGCTTGCCTTGAAAAAAGAAACGCTACACCACCAAAGACAAAATCTGAACAGTATCAAGACCACACTTTTATTTCTTCAGCAAGCATACTGCAGGTTGGCCTCTCTATCGACCCTATCTTTTGAATGCCGAATATTTGGGTTGTGCAGAACTGACCTTTGCGTTGTACAACCAGTACCTCTTTACGCGAACTAAACCAAAAGCTCGATTCATCGGTTATATCGAAAACTCCTGCCGGTTTATCTGAACCATGCCAATATTTAGAAATGTGGTAAGTGGAAAACCCTCTAAAGTGTACTGCTTTCCTTTACAAGCAGTAGTAGCCCTAGAGGTCCAGGACGAGCAAGATCCAAACAAGGACCACGACAATGCAGTCTTAAGAGGAGAATCAGTTTTCGCACACCACTGGTTCTCGTGGATAAATTCTGGACTATTGATTTGGGCCGTGCTTTCTCCGGCTGGACTTTCACCATTCGAGCAAATAATGTCTTACCGTCATCATCTCCAATATTTCGTCACTGTAAACCTGGTGAGGTTGAAAAGATCCAAAGATTATTCGCAGATCGCCTCGCATCTCCCTTCGATTGCGATCGCTATGGTAGAGGTCTATTACACGTAAGTACAACCTGTCTATTTATCAAAGCTTTTTTCTCATATGATCCAAATGTCTAGGTAGCCGCTCAATCTCATCAACTCGGGGTGTGTCAAATGCTGTTGGGAAATGGAGCCGATCCCGACCAGATAGACGTGTGGGGAGCGTAAGTGTCTGAATTATACTATTTCTTGTATTCAAACTACCAACTAATGAAAGGCAAAGCACCCCTCTCGGTGTAGTGAATGCGGTGGCGAGAAATTACATCGAACGGGCAGAAGACGTTCGCCTCTTCCTTGACCTGTATAGACTCTTTATTCGTGACTTTGACGAGCTATTCGAAGACCTCGATAGAAGATGGCCAGCTACATCTGGCTTTCAAGGTCCCGCCGAAGCTCTCTCCTTAATACAAGGGTATTCTTTCAAGAATTATTCCGATTTGCCTCTTGAAATTCGATTCAAGCGAGCAATGGCTCTTGATAATTGGTGGGTGCGTGGTCCATGCCCAATTACTCTACGAATTGCGATGGGTGGTGATCGTTTTGATCCTTCTGCGTACCTTCTTGAAGATGATAATGGAGAGACTCTCCTATTCCGGATTGTGCAGTGTATGGCCGTTGAGTTCTCCGCAAGAAAGAACAGCAATATACAGCAGTGGCGTCAGCTTCTTTGTGATGCAATTGCAGCCTCTGCCGATCTCTGCCATGTGTCATCCAGTTATGGTGGGAAGAATACGCCTTTGATAGAATTTCTACACTATTTCACGAAAGATTGGGCGGAAATTAAGCGAGCTGGATATAATTTTGATCCCATTATCCAGCTATGGGCATCAGAACTGCAGTTTGCAGGTGTCGATCTAGCAAATTACGGGGCAAAGGAGAAAGCACTATACACATTCGGTGTTGTTAATCCCGATGTCTACATATACGTTGGCCTTGAAAAGTCCGGCCCGGGACATGATCCTGAAACAGGTGAATTTCTCCGGTTTCATTTTCTGTCACTGGAGTATGGCCCAAGGCCCGAAGACTGGAAGTTATGGGCGTCTAATCCGGTTGATGAAATGGTATGGGAATTCTGGGAAATGATAGAGAGGGGAGAGCAAGTTATGCCTGGTACATGGATAGACTAGCCACGTACAGAAGCCTCCAGCACTACTTCCCTAATATCATATTGTCGCAGTTGTTGGCCTTTGTTCAACTACTGAGTTACAACTACTATGAGAGAAACCTGGCCTATGACCAGTCCGCTTCTTGCACCTTTTTTTGGGGGGGGAGGAATATTGCATGTGCCTTGCGCTACTTGAAATGAGTATATATTTACCAGGAGTTCTTTGTGTCCACAACTTAAATTCGGGTGGTGGGCAGAGCTAAGGCAGAATCATCAGTGTTGATGTCAAGAGATATATTTGGGCGACATGCTTCAAAACTAGTGGCTGGCAACTATGGACTGTGGCGTGATGAGCTCAAAAGAACCGATCGATGCCACTAAAAATAAGCATAGCCATTCTATACCCACTCCGAAGAGCCGCCAACCCTCACAGCCAATATTGCTGGAGCACGGGGCAGATCCGGCCAGATCGGTGGGCGTCAACAAGCTTTCAGAGGATCGACACCGCCCGAAGGGGGGGGGGGGGGAATCGAATGCCTGCGGGCGATGGAAGCACAAGCTATCCGCTGGGCGGTGATTGGCAGCGTTTAAGACGGAACTGGTCGAATCTGGATCTCCACCGAGGAATAAAAATCGTCTCTTCTCATCGGCAGAGAGAGCGAAGGAAGCGGTGAGGGAAGAGGAGAGACCAGATAATGGTATCGCCGTAGTTCATGAGGAGGGTGGTTGATGATACTGTTGTTGTTGCCGGTCGAGGCAGAACAAGCCAATGTGATTGATTGTGCTCCGGTGACTTCATCTGCTCCCGTCCTCTCGTTTCTCTCTCTCCCCCGCCACATCCCCAACTTCTTCCTTTTCCATTCTTCTCTCCTTCTCTCCTGCTTCTTCTCTGGACTTAACCAATAATTATCATCCTCCCCCAGCTCCACCTCCATCGTCCACTCGTTCTCCCAAGGCGGTGACGGCCGATCGGCGTCAACCCTGGAACCTCAGAGGTCGGCCCCGATCCTTTATCTATTCTTGCTTTGGATCCCGGCCATCCGCCCGACGTGCTGCTCCCTCAACAACCTGTAAGATTTCGCTCTCCCCGAACGTGATGCCTTCTACCCCATCTTCCCCCCAAATGTCAATTCCTCCACTAACGTGCGTCCTCTCCTCGTCGTGATCTCAGCTCCTTCGCTCGTCCACTGGCAGTCCTTGTTCTCGGCCTGGGATCCTCTTCCCACTCCGCAGCCACACCTCTTCCCTGTCCCCGCTTCCCGTCTATTCCGGTTGTGAGGCTTGACCAATGTGCTATCCATGTCAAACCCGCCGTCCGCTCCCGAAGACTCCTTGCCTGATTCCCTGGTGACACCTGCTGCGCCGGCCCAACATGATTGCCCCAAGGAGACCGAGCTCCCTCCAAGGAGCCCGCGTCACCACTCTGCGCACGACCAGCACTTGTCCCAGGGGAATCAAGAGGCGCCTTCCCCGTCCCGTGCCGAATCTCCCACGGTCCCTCATCAATGGTCCCAACCCGTGTCTACTTTCGCACTAAAAAGGAGCACAACGGCGCCGTTGGAGAACCTGGCGCGCACCGACGACGCTTACCATCCCCAACTGTCAGAGCGAGACAGCATCTTTGCAACCCATTACCTGCCATCTGACAGTGGCGCGAACACCCCACAATTGCCTCCTCATACGGCTCCGGACAATGACCGCGTCCACTTGATCCCTGCCCTTGACGATGCACCCGTGCATCCAAGTTCACTTTCCAAGGTCTCCTCCCCCCACCGTTCCCACGTCGACCCTTCCCCCATGGAGGTTGACGTCCGCAGACATTCTCCGTTGCGCTCCTCACCTCTCTTTCCACACTCCCATTCCCGACGCATATCTCTTTTGCGCTCGGCCGTCTCATCCACCGATCTGCCACCAGAAGAAAGTTCACAGCCTCCGGCGGGGCACGCCCCTGAACAGCGGCCCAAAGTGCCATTGGATCAAGTAGGTGCGAAGTCTGGTCGCCCGCAGGAAACTGAAAGAAGTCTCCTTCCCTCTGCATTACATGATGTTTCACATCCTCCCTCGTCATTGACAGAGCCCTCAGTCGGCCGCGATCGACCCACGGTCCGTCGGGGGAGCGTCTCTTTCTCTACGGGAGATACGTCTCGAGTTGCGCCCGCTCCTGAACGAAGTCCCAGCAAAAGCCGTCGTGGCCGAGTGGATAACTCGATTGAGGCGAATCTCACCAACGTGGAACCGGCCTCCAATGTTCGCAGCCGTAAGTCCAGCCACTACTTGGGCCTCTTCAAAGAGAATACTACCTCCCCTGATCGGAAGAGAAGGGAGGACCGTGGTCAGCAACATGAGGAGCCCTCGGAATTGATGGACCGCGCTATGGATCAGGAGCCAGAGTCCTTGTCCACGCTCTTGGAGGAAGACCCCTCGCTTCGCAAGAGCGTGTCTCTTCCCACACTAGGGGATGCACCCGCGTTTGAAAAACCATCCATCGTCGAAGTACCCCAGCCTGTGCACCAGGACTCTCCCTCCAAGCGCCCGCGGGCACTGCCCCGCAGCCTGCTAGAAGAGATCCGAAACTTTCATCTCACACCGGGTGGTAGCCGGGGGTCGTCATTTTCTCGAAGTATCCCAACGCAGTATTCTGAACGCAGCCATGACTATTTTCAAGAAGATGTGCTTGCCGAGGTTCTGACAGAACTACCAAGCTCACAGGAGCAAGGGGAACGCCGAGATTCCGATACATTTGAAGACGAGGAGGAAGAAAATGAGCAGATCTCTTCAGCCGTTTACTTCCCCCACGAGCGCGTCGCGGTCCCCGAAGAGACCAATGGCTTACAGCCGTTCGTTGAAGATAAACGAGGCGTGCAGCCAGTTCAACTGGAGGCCGCAGAGAAGGGCCATGAATTGAGGCTGGTGCCCAAAGCACGTAGCACTTCTCCTGAACCGGAAGTCAGCCATGTGGATATATCTCTACGATCTAAAAATGAAAGTAAGATTCTGCACGGCGATCTTCAAGATCTTCAGTCGCCGCTGGAGACCGTGCCCGAAAAATCCCTGAGTACCATCTCCGAGCGCAGTTATGACTCTACGGGCGACTCCGAGATTGTATCTGCGGATGAAAGCGGGCCGTCAGGTCTGGATGAATCCAGCTTGACCGACGATGCTGAGATGACGCCCACCGCGACGCCCACTCAGCGCTCACGATTTCTTACCCGGCGCAAGGCACAGAACCAGGGGCCTTTGGGGGCGGTGGAGTTGAAGCCGTACAGACATCAGGTTGGGGGCCACACCACTGTGTTCCGTTTTTCCAGACGGGCTGTGTGCAAGCAGCTCAATAACCGAGAGAACGAGTTTTATGAACGCATTGAACGCAGGCATCCTGATATGCTGGTGTTTCTTCCAAGGTATGTGACTCCGTTTCGAGGGGATGCGCATCATAATGTTTGATGCTGATTATCTTTGCTAGATACATTGGAGTCCTGAACGTGACATTCTCAAAAACACCCAAGCGGTTAAAGAGCCACACCGAACAAGCTGGTGGCCACAGTTCGGATGCGAAGCAGATAAACGGAGCTTCTATCCTTGGTTCACAGTATTTGGATGCGCCAGAACCCCAGCGCATTGTTAGCCAGAAACAGGTTACCGGGGTGATCCCCAAAGTCATACTGGAGAACAATCGCCATATCATCCCAGCCGACCTTTTTGGGCTTCCCCAACGACCACGATCAGCTCATGATGCGATAATTGGCCGAACTCATTCCGTTGATGGGCTCGGAAACTTTACGAATGATTCCGACCCGTCGACCCTCAGCAAACGTAAGAAGATCTGGGGAGCTACTTCTGTCAATCGAAAACTCCAAGAATCGGTTCTTCGTGAAGTGTTCAGCCCCCCGGCAATTCACCACCATCGCCGGCATGCTCGTGGTCATATGCATCTACCAAGAACAATTTCGGACATTAGCCCACGGCGAAAAAACCAGTCAGTGGATCATACTTCTAGCAGTCGCCGCACCCCACCCGGACGGGTTGAGGCCCTGAAGTCCCCGGCAATTGATATCGTTCTCCCTCCCCACGAAGGCCCTTCGCTGTCGTCATCGGCTTCTACTGCGTTGGAAGCCAATAATCGCAATCGTCTTGAGAAAATTCGAACCGAGGAGCAGCAGCCTGACCGCGCAAGAGCTCTCAACAGAGGCCCGCACATGAGACGACGCCATTCTGGGAGTGGCTTGCAGAGACGACAAAGTATCAATTCCGGCGAAGTCGGGGATCTGATGTTCTTCGACGATGATGGCTACGGTGGAGACCGAGAGGATGAAATATTCTCTATGGAAGGGGACGTTTCTATGCCTCTTTCTCGACTATCTCCGACAAAGGCCTCCGCTTCTTCAGCTTCGGAAAGTACCTCGACAAGTGAACCACGAGCCTCCGAATCAGCGGGGTCTGAAAAACCGTCTTCTTTCTCCTCTCACGATCGACCAAAGGATGATGTGAGCACTCTGCCCAGCAACCCGAAAGAGGCACAATTGAGGAAAGATGAACGGGTCCAGTTCTTCCTTCTCCTAGAGGATCTGACAGCAGGCATGAACAAGCCATGCGTCCTGGACTTGAAAATGGGAACCCGACAGTATGGCATTGAGGCGAACGAGAAGAAGAAGAAATCGCAGAGACGCAAGTGCCAGTCCACCACCTCGCAGCAGCTTGGTGTGCGACTTTGTGGAATGCAGGCCTGGAACGTCAAGAAGCAAGAATATACCTTCGAAGACAAATATTTCGGACGAGATCTGAAGTCCGGCCGAGAATTCCAGGATGCGCTCACCCGATTTCTCTATGATGGTGTTAGCTATGCCAGCGTCGCCAAGAAGATCCCCGTCATCTTGGAGAAATTGTCTCTGCTGGAGCATATGATTCGGAAGCTAAAGCATTATCGTTTATATGCAAGCAGCCTCTTGATTCTCTATGATGGAGAGCAGTCGCCTCCCGAAGAAGGATCTTCTCAGGACGGCCACAACAACACGGATGTCCATC